CGAATCGACTGCGACCATTTTTTTTTTAACGATCAGACGAACGATCGGGGCAGTTTTGGCGCGTCCAATCCTTTGAGGGATAAAAAGGTACTAGAATAGTGGCTACTAAAAATATTGTTGTGCTGGTGTTCCCCGCCCACAGCTAATTGAACTTTAGGTAATTGGCTAATTGGCTTTAGGGAGCTCTTGAAGCGATTCTGAATCTGATGTATTTGTTGGTGTTGCTGACGCCTGCTTCACTGACATAAAAGCTAAAAAAGCATACTCAGCATCGCAAAAAGTGGGGGGGTCGACACCCCCAGTTTTCAAGAGTGGGGGGGTCACGACCCCCCCGACCCCCCCGTCGGCGACGCCCCTGCCATGCCAACATGTAACATGGCATTTCCCAACAGAAGTCTGGACAAGTGGATATTATAACGAAAGCCGACAAATGGGCCAAGACGTGAATTGTGAGAAAACGAGACGTTTGCTGCTGCCTTGACGTCAAAAGCCAGGTCACTGGCTAGCCGTAACATAATTCTAATAAATGGTTTCGTTTGTTCCATTCACGGAAAAGGTTTGCAAACTACCGAAACCGAACCAATTGAATCACTAATCGTTTCAGCATTGTTATAAGCTGAATCCACAAACGATGGCGTTATCAGTACGCCGATTAAAATTGACTTGTCATTGCTCAATGTTCATTGTTCACACAATGTCAGTGTTCATCGGAATGCACGTCGCGTGCTAGGAGCCCTCAGCACGTGAGCACTGCGCACCACCTCCGGACCGTCTCACCCAGTCACCCCCTCCCCTCCCCGCCCCTCACGGACCACGGCCGGCCGGACGGAGCGCGTCCGCTCATTACCCACTGAGACGCGGTCACGGCGCCGCGCCGACGGCCGCGGGCTGTGGGCCGCCACCGCCGCGCCGACCTGCCAGTTATGTGCACCTACTGAGCGGGTGGGACAAGCCCCGCCCTGGCGGCACCGGCCGGCGCCGCCCCGCCCTCACTGATGGCCCAGGCCCCGCCCTCGTGGGCAGCCGCCGGCAGCGGCTACCTCGCGCAGCGGCAGGCCAAGGAGGGAGGTGTGGCCGGCACGTGGGGAGGAGCGGCCCGGCCCTGCCCGGCCCGGCCCTACACCAGTCCGCCACAGACAGCACTCAGAGTTGTGCAATAGGTCAAACCTTGCCCGAGGTCCTCCGGCCCACCAGCCCGGCGGCTGACCGGCCGAAGGAGAGGAGAGGGGAGGGGAGGGTCGGGCGGCCGGCCATCAGAGGCGGCGGGAGGGTGGCGCCGGTCATTGACATTCACAATGACATTGACCGTTACCACTACGCCAGCGGGGCATGACCCAGCACGTGCGAACGGTACGTGCTAATCGGGTCATACCGGAGGCGACGGTCAGGCAGGCACTTAGTGGTATGACCAATTGCCACTGACCAAGAGACCAGTCACTCAGCGGCATTACCAATGACCATTGACCAGCCACTTAGCGGCATTACCAATGACCATTGACCAGCCACTTAGCGGTACGACCAACAACCACTGACCAGCATCGGCATTCGATACCCAGGTCCACGCTGAAGCACAATCAACCGTGGACATCGAAATCGAAACCAGCGTCCAGCATCGACCAACATATCGCCGGGACTCTGCTTTCGTTGAAAGGGGGAGAGGGAGAGGAAATGGTGAAATGGATGTGATTTGACAGCGAACGGGTGAATGGTGGTAACTGGACGGGTGCCAGCAGAGCGCCGTGGAAACGGTGGTGAAAATAACGTGCCGGCGAGCGGCGTGCAACGGTGGACGGTGGCCTGACTGCGATGATGCAAATTTATTCCGAGAATGTGTGTTGATCCAGGTGATGGCGAGCGATAGATAGCTATAAACGCGAGTGTGTAAAAGATCGGATTCTATCAGCTATTCAGGTAGCGACTGAGGGGGGAGGGAGGAAGGCGGGGAGGGCGACACGCGCTTGAGCGAGTGCAGCAGCTCCTTTCATTTCTTCCTGCATTATTTCCAAAAGTCATGCATTTATCCATAATCCATGCATATAAATGGATGGAAACTATTGTGGCAGACTATCAAAGCGATTTGAACGCTTCTCTGGCGTCACGAAATGCAGATCGTGATTGACTGAACCTGGAAGACTTCACTTCGGTGAAACTTGGGATGTCGGACTATTACAGTTGCATTACAGAAACACATTCTCCAAGCGTGAAGCGAAAAGTTTAAAACTTTCCCGGAAATAGTTCCGCTTTCTCGTCACTGATCACCGTACTTCTTATTCTTAAACTTACACAACGCCACCGCACCGCGATTCATGATCCATACCTTGCAGGCCATTGTAAATAGTGCATTGTTCAGTGGCCATCGAGCACAGTCCATGCAAGCACGTAATAATCACAGATGTGCCCATTCCATGGCAGGGGTCCGACAGCAATCAGGCCAGACCGAAGGGGCGCTCTGATTGAATCAGTGGGCGGTATCGGCGTCTGCGGCCAGCACTGAGCGATCCCCAATTGATAGGCCGCCCGGTCAGCTGCCCAAAGCGGCCGGCATTGCGGACCGTTACCTGGCAGAGCAGCAGGGCCGTGCCTTCTAGGCACGCTAGGCACTGCCTGACCTGCACACATGTCCTCTGGCTGGCTGGCTAGCTGGCAACCTGGCTGCGGCTCTTCGGGCTGGCAGTTTGTAGGGTGTGGTCGGTGGTCATGGGTTTCGTGGCTGGTGGTTCAGGCTGACCATGGCCCGCCGTGTTAGAGCGACGGCGGCTGAGCCAAACTGCACGGGACGAACGGGACCACTCACCACGGAGGAACTCAAGGAGACAGTGTGAAACACACTGCAAGCCAACAATGAAATTATGGCCAATGCTGATGGAAGAGTAAGCTATTTTAGATAATCAGCTATTGCCTATTTCAATAATCACAAAAAGGAAAGATATAGGCTTCGCAGTCGCACTTATGTTTAGCTTCAGAGATCAGTCAACTCAAAAAAAAAAAGTATCGGCAACATCGCACTGTTCAGCGCTAGCGCTTGCACGTTATCCGGGCGCCCAAACGCCCCGAATAGCGCCCGCGTCACCAATCAGCTGATTGGTGACGTGACTGGCGTAGTAAGCACGCCCCGCCCTCTGGCGCCGGCCCGTCCACTGCACTGTGAGGTCACTACAACAGCTGATGTAGCCGCCTCGCCGAGGCGAAGCCGAGGCCGAGGCGGCCTCGGACGTGCTCAGCGAAGGCCTACGAGGGGATGGGAAGGCGTATCTCTGGCCAGTCATGTACTTCGCAGTACGTAAAACAGACGCCGTGCTACGGCAAAATGACACCACAAATAAACTACGGTCTTATAACAGCAGACAGAAAACAAGGAACGAATCACAAGAAAAGACTGACCCCAATCCTTTAAAGGGACCCTCCCACCTTCAAAAAGTTAATGAATTGGCATGAAAGTGATGTCCCTTGGTTCAGAAAGAGCGAAAACGAATATCTACCAAATTTCACCGAAAAATATTCACTGGTTTTCAAGATATTAGGCTTTTACTTTTGTTTACTTTTTGGGATCTCCCTGTTACTAGCGACTTTATTTGGAAGCAATAATTTGGAAGCCTTAAAGTGCGGCAGACGTTGCGCGCAAAGCAGCGTATACCACCACGTGTTAACGATGGTTTTAGTCTAAGATTTAAAAATCGTTAGATCTCCGCTGACGTCACAAATTCTAAGGGGGCATACCAATGCATTAGCCCCTTAGAATCCGAAAACTGCAAGTTTGAAATTCCATATCTTCGAATTAAAGCATTTCTCGATGTTGTGAGTGCCCAAACCGGTATTTGCAGGCCATGGCCACCAATTTGGCTATCTCAACTCAAAACTAATGTTAAGGTGGGAGGGTCCCTTTAATGGGTCAACGGCCAGCGTGGAACTTGTCCAGTCTCTGCTGAAATAATGCTTAAAATAATTCATAGCCTTCACAAAGGCAACGGTCCTGTGAGACCTTCCCCACGGCCCCTCCAGCCTTCGCCAGCGCCGGTAGCCGACATATCCGTGTGCCTTTTCGGAAGGCTATTTCTCAGACCATATTTATCGTGAGAATTAAGTGGTATGTGGCCGTCCGGCGCCAAACGCAGCCACCTCTACAGACTGCACCTTCGGGTGCAGTCAAGTAGGTAATTGTGGAACGTAAAATAACAATAAAACTCGCCAAAAATGTTCTCATGCACAAATGGAGGCAATACAATCTCACGTTCTAGCGAATAATGATAAATTGTGAGAATGTGCAACTGTTCGAGTTCAGTCCGAGGACCCGTTTTTCTCTGTGCGCCCTTCGCCCAACGCCCAATGTCCCTGTTCCCAGTTAAGTTTGGTCGTCACTCGTCCCAAGTTCAGGTAGCCATTCATTGCAGCGGTTCACCATTTCGTTCCGACTCAGGACCGACGAACGCTCTTGTTCCCAGTTTCATTCAACCATCCTGAGTTGAGGGGCTGTTCTCCGCCCTGTTCTCTGGCTCGATTCGAGGGGCGCCTGATTTCCATGCTCCGATTTAGCTCAGGCCTCAGCCATCATGGCTTCGGTTCGCCGGCTTGCTTTGGTCGCACACAGTGCACGCGATAGCCCGCCCCTATCTCTACTGATAGACTAGAGTCAGTCTGGGAACCAGACGGGTCAGGAAGCCGGGCCACGTGCTCTGAACGAACATACGCGAAATCCGACATGGGGGCACCCATTGGGTACTCTGTCTGGTGCCACTTGCCATTGTTTGTTTGCGTCTCCAATGGAATTATCAAAAGAAAACGCCAGGTGAGCAAAGGCAAACTGCTCTCAGGAATACCTAAATGATTAGTGAACCCTCATCGCACGAATGAAACATCCGACAACTTACTTATACCAGCGTTTCACTTTCCTCACACCTACCCCGTTACCCACCCACCCTAACCCGTGCCGCACCGCCACCGAGAATAACTGTAAAACTACAGTCACCAAGCACAATCGAGCCGTGCAGTCACGGTTCACGTACTGTGTTTGGACGAAGGCCGCAGTCCCTGCACCTCGTGAACCAGGGTTTCCTTCAGCTTGCCGCTGTATTTGATCACCTGACGCATGGCCCGGCGCGGTGTCGGTTTAGGTTTGGACGGCCGGGTCGCGGAGGGCGCAGTAGCAGCGGTAGGTGCTGGGGTTGGTGTCAGACCCGGCAGCGCCGCGCCGCACCGGTCCGGCTCGTAGTTGTCGTTGCAGATGGACGTCACGCCGGTCGGCACGTCCTCCACGTGGCCCATGATGCGGCGCCGCCACGGTCAAGGTCGCGTCCGGCGGGCCGCCACCGTCCGGCCGGCCCTTTCACCTTGGCACGGCCGGCCGACCTGCACTGCGGGCGCGGCGGCCGGCGCACTTCACTGCCGTCTGCCGCCGCACGCGCACAGACACCGCCCGACACTCCTCGGCACAACACCACTCCAAATAACCCCACACTTCGACAGGAAAGTCTTAGAAAACGACCAACACAACGCACCACACACACCACACGCTGGGGCGCGCACCGCACTAGCGCGGCGAGCGGCGCCACGAAGGCAGCGGCTCGGCCGCCCGGTCGGACCGGTCCACCACAGCGCGGCGCGGCCGCCTATCGCGCCGACAGGGGGCGCCTGCGACCGGACCGGCTGCAGCGGGTCGCTCCGAGCGCGCCGGAACAGCCTACCCGCCCGGCGGACGAGGCGCGCTCGGAGGTCACAACTCACAGGTGTGGGGGCGCCACGTGACGCGCCGGTAGTCACGTGGGTAAATCACGAAACGATCGTGGACTTGTATCTGGATGACAGTAGATCACTATCAGGGGAGGTTTTTTTACCCGGTCCTCAGGATTTATTCTATACAACCATTTCACAAACATTCTGAGGCTGACAAACAGTGTAAGACATCCAAATATCCATCCTCTCTATCCTCAGGGCCAATCTCATTTCCTCGTCCGAGCTGACGGTCAACCCACCACCTAAGCGATGGAGGGTCAGTTCCAGTAGGACCACACACATTCTTAGTGACCGTTTGAGTTTATCGGACTCGATCGCCAATCAGAGACACATTGTCCCAACCGAATGAGCTCAGCGGCACAGCTGCGCAGCAATCGGTGATCGACTCGGCCCAAACCCTCCACTGTATTTCATCATCCTTCGGCCCTGATCTGATCTCAATAGGCCGAAAACGAGTGACCTAATAAAACAGCGTGTCCACAAACAAAGCACTCTTTCTTTTAATTGTGCCTCACTCGTAATTATGCAAAGATCAAAATGACCATCGATGGCCGTAGTAACATTATGATCAAGGGAATGCCCAAACCACCCTTTTATGACACCTCGTGTAGGTAGGCAAAAGTTCAACATGCATCATGTGTCCTCTCGTAAAATATATTGCAACTACGGGAACAATTCATGCCTCTATTATCACTGATCGCCTGCAAACGGCCAACAGAGGAGAGCTGAGAAACTTAATAAATATAGTTAACGTTTACAGTTGAAAATGGGTCTAGTGAACCAATTACAGTCCGGCAAGGCCGGCGGGCGGTCTAGTGACCCGAGTGACCGGAAGGGGCTGACCACAGAGCGGTACAAAGTCACGCGACTGGAGACCCACGGCAAGGAGCGCAGCGATTGGTCGTGTGACCCGTGAGTTGTGACGTCACTGGAACAATGTCACAGCCAGTGCGGTGGTAACTCCGGCGATCAGTCTAGTCTCTTCACCAGCAGCAAAGTTTGCTCATCAGTTTTTTTAGGTTGTCTCATCAGCACACTGGACATTGGACACCTTACCTGACCATGAGTACCTACAGCGCATCCACACCTTTTTACGCCCAATTTAGGCGGCAGTGCATACATTTCAGTAATGGTGCAGGCGATTTTGACGGCACAGCATAATCTGAATATGGCGAACTGTCGAAATCGGTTGCACTATTACTGAACTGTGTGCACACTATGTCTATGTATGTATATTTGGCCATAAAAAGGTGTATTCAACAATCGGTTACATCGAACCATAGACTGCCACCTAATCGGCTGCCCGACCCCTCGCCAGCCCTTTAAACCACGCCTTTAAGACCCCTTTAAGCCTTTTAAGACCCCTTTAAACCACGCAAAACACGTTCTGCCGCCCCACGTAATCGTGCCCATTGTCACCTCGCTCGTTGTTTCCCGACTCCGCTACTGCATCGCTGTTTACGGTACCTGTGGTGCTACGGAGTTGCACCGCGTTCAGAAGATACTGAATTTTTGCGCGCGAGTTGTGAGCGGGCGGAGGAAATATGACAGAGTGTCGGATGTGTTACGCGATCTGCAGTGGCTCACTGCACCAGACATGGCCCTGTATCATCGAATGTGCTCTGTACACCGCATTGTGGAGACACAACAGCCGACTGCGATGGCAAGCAAGTTGGACAGAGCGTCCGACCAGGGTCACAACACGCGAAATGCGAACCGGTTCAGGCTGCCACGAATTCGAACAGAGGCAGGCAGGCGGCAACTTTTGTATAGCGGTGTCTCGGAGTACAACGAATTCATGCACCGTTACAATGGTCGTCCAGCATTCAAAACCGCCGTGAAACGCTACTTGCTGGGGCGTGATTCAAACTGAATGATTGATTGACTTGTATGCATGTGTGTGCTTGTGCTTGAATTGTGTGTATCTGTTTTGCTATGTCAACTCTTTTTAACGTTTGACGTTACGTTGATGAAAAGCCGCAATAGCGGATTTAACGTGAATACAATGAATCTGAATCTGAATCAGCTGCCAATCTGGTCCGCATCAAGCCGTGGAGGTGATAAACTTCGGCTGCACGGTGGGAGGCATGGTGGGGCGACCTTGCCATTAATGGGGCGGCCGGCCGTGTAATCGTCAGCCGTCGCCAATGTTGCGACACCACCGGCCGTCAAATCATGACTACTGGGCGGACAGTGCTCCCGGGTAATTAGTGCAAACTTATATGTGTAGCGTGCACTTGACCCTCATCTAAACATAATAAAGGGGAAGTATGTACTATGTATAGCACAATTAGTGGCACTGCTGCAAAATCGTACAAGAAACAAGAGAACCTACGTGCAAGAACAAACGAAGGCAGCACTTGTAATAATACAAACAATCGCAAAGCCAAGAAGTCAACATTCCCGCGTTGTCGCTGCTAACAAGCCCGAAACGTAGTCCCGATGTAAACGCAGTTTTACTGTGGAAAATATCTACACAGTGATGGAAAGGTCATAAGCCATGTTAGCCCCTCATAACAATGACGTATGCCATCATAATACCTCCGATTAACATATCTAATGTCACCTTTTTACCTCAGTTACCTTACCCCATAATATAAAAGTCGACTTCTAGGTAGATGCTAATAATTGGGCATTTATCTCATCACTTTCTGGTGCACGACCGATGTGAAATTAGCGTTTAACATGACCTGGCCAATCAGTGTCTGTGATCGGCGGCCCTGACCCGGCCCGGTGGCGAATTATCACCTGGCACCCTCCCGGCGGCCACACCCCACCCCTGAGCGGCTGCTCTGATCTAGAGGAGGGGGATGGAGAGAATAGGAGGAGGAGGGGGGGGGGGGCACCTCCCTCCTTCAGACCAGCCCGGCTTAATGTTGGAATCTCTTTGGTGATTTGCTCTAGCTGTGTGTCTTCTGCTTTTGATGAGCACGATGAATTTTTTTTAATGTTCCCGATAACACTGACAGAAGGACAAGATAAGACAAAAAGGATAAGTAGAGCAAAATGACATCAAGATGCCAAGGACGGATAAACAGACACGGCGAGGTAGACACTTACCCACTGACCTGGCCGTAGAACGAACAACCCTTCCTGGGCGAACTGCGCATTCAGACACGCTGGTCTGAACCACCAACACACACACAAAGCACTCTCGGCTGGCCAAGTTTCTCCGCGTCACTGGAGCCCAATTAACCTTGATCTTAAGCCACAAATTAAGCATTAGACGACCGCAACTTGCGACATACTCCACCACGCGGCGATACGGAACGTCCGGCAATCACAGACCGCTTTTATTCGCCGGCTGGAGGTTGGAGGGACCCCTCACGACAGCGGGCGGCTCAGGGCAGTCAGAGGCGCAGGCACAGGCCGACCGACTGAGGCAGACTGATCGTGCGACTAATGCAGGAAGAGTATATAGGGGCAGGCAGAAGCTCCCAGCCTGGGTGATTAATTAATACATGACAGGGAATGACACGGTGTTGCCGAGAGCAATGGAATGATTTGCAGTCAGCGTTCAGTCATGCGATCGAGTGCGCCAAGCTGGCACCGGGCGGCCAGAAAGTGCCCAACAGTTGCTCTCAGACCAGGGTACAGGGCTGCACCTAGCACGCGCCACGCATTCTTACCGAAAGAGACGACGCGATAACCAGGAAACGGTCAGCCCCTCTCGCGGAGAACATACCTGAAACGACAGAAAAAAACACCATATTAGATTTGTTACAATAAGTTGCGCTCGCTCGCTGGGTGAACCTAAATGTGCTGACTCATTATAATGTCCAGTACACTTGCATTTCACGTAGGTGACATTACGTCTCATGTGTTCCGAATCAATGCTGAATTGACTGATTTGTTGTAACAACAGCAACAGTGAAACGAGTTTTATCGTATATCAATGTAGAACATCGATGCCATATGACAAAATCCCTGAAGAATCGTGACAAGACCTGTTTGGCTGGCAATCACCGACAATGTAGGTGTCATAATGCAACATCCGGTCCAATCAAATATCCGCCCCGTCCCCCTCACATCCGATCGGATCGGGTGGCGAAACGCACGACATTGTGTCCGTTAGGCGCGATACCGACAAACGGGCCCATTGAGAGCGATATGCCCATGCGAACGGCAGATCATGGCACCAATGGCCGCGATCATGTGCGCGCTGTGGGGTGGGCTAGGTCGGGCTGACCTACCCCATCCCGTCGACACAGGGGTGGTCGGAACGGGAGAATTGGCCGGGTATGTGTTTGCGTGTGGGGCTTGGGAGGAATGCTGAAGTATAATGTACATTATTGTTCCTCATTTTTGCTTCTTTTCGCGAAAATGAGAAAAACGAAGAACACATGTGAACACCTCTTGTCCTTAAAGTAAATCACACTCTGCGATGACCACTTTCATTTCCTTTAGATTCCTTACACTGAGTTTCACTGTTAGATAATGTCATTGACATTATCGCATGTCAGATCCCCAAAGCGCGTGTTCATTGGCGCCGTCAATCAGCGAACACCCATTAAAGCTGCTTATGTCCCGTTATCAGTGGAGTTTTACCCGCCCATCTAGTAGCCCAGCCCGCATATTAAGCGGTATCGGCGCCTGCCATACGCTGTGGCGTGCTGCCGACCGCCATCCCGTGCCGTCCTTGACCCTCAAACGCCTCCCGCCGCGCTGATTCGCCAGGACAGGCCGGCAGGGGGCATGCCTCTGATCGGCAGCCCGCCGCTCCAATGCCGAGAGGAGACACACCCTTCTCAGAAGCCACCGCCCCCTGACATCTACCAGCCTCATTGACTGATCTAGCGATTGGAGGGATACGCTTAGTCAGGATTCCGACCCCCCCTCCCCCCTAAACCGAGCCAGTCAACAGAGGACACACCCAGTCAAAGTCGCCGCGCGTCTCCCCTGGTTCAGAATAATCCAACGCTACAAGTCAAAAGTCATGAATCCATTCCACTGTTAGGAGAGACGGAAGTAAAAAAGATCCCGGTTACGGCTAACTCACAGACTCGCTGAGGTGGACGTGGGACCTATTCAGCGCGGTAGACTGTCCGTGATATGGGTGTAACCAGTGACAGGACTCCACTGTTTGTAGAGAGCCTTTAATGGGCTGTTCCCGTGAGCGCGCCCCCGTACTGACCACAGGTCGTCTCAGTAGCCCCCCCCCCCCCGGGAGGTCTCCAGGTCGGGGTCAGCATCTGCCGGAGGCATCACATGGGGGGGGGGTCTGGCGATCGGTCGCCCCCACAGGCCGCCGACCCAAATTGGCGCCACCCGTGCCGACAGTAGCGGCCGGCGGCTGGGTCGGGGCGGGTCTCCTGCCATCCTGACACACCCACCCCTGCGCTGACCAGCCGGTCGACCCGACACATCCTGCATGTAACCTCCCCGAGTCGCCACCTGGCACGACCCTGGCCCACAACGGAACGAGAACAACCGGCGGTGGTAGAGGGGACAACGGCTGACCGGCGACACGTTCTGAGACTCGTCTGACGGGGAGATGTCAGGCAGATGACTGATGTTTGTAACAATCCACAACTCTTCCCACTCTGAAGCCAGCCAGTCACTCCCGAAATATGCGGCGCCGCGCTCCAGGGACTGACCAGACACTGGGCCAATAATGACTTGATGACCACTGTCTCAGTAACCACCGGTCCGGGAACCCCAGTCACTGCCAAGTGCCACTGCAATAAAGGTAGGGGCGCGTCCCTCAAGCAAAGGTGGGCGAGCATTCCCCCATTAACAGTGGGCGGGCACTACGAGCACAGTGAGTATGGGTGCTCGCCCCTCCAGTGACTGAGGGCGCCCGCCCCTCGTGCTGCTCCAGTGACTTTGGGCGCCCGACACACGTCGTCCGTGACGTGTCGCCGTCACGCCGTGACGCGTCACGTCACGTCGTGACACCGCTGAGGGTGCGCCGTGACGCGGGCACCGCTATGCTGCAGGGGAGAGGTGAGATGCCGACAGCACTTTAAGAAACACCGGGCAACGGCTGACTGGAAGCATAAACTCCTCACAGAGAACCCGAGCTAACGAAACTCCACCCGAAATACCAGGTCACCCCTACCCTGTTTGACGGCAGTCTGTCTTTTCAGGTGGACAGAAAGCTGTTACCACAAGAGCAGTCCCAGCTCTGTACCAGCCCACCATCCGGCCCATTTTCAACATCCATTTGATGCCATCTTTTCGCATGAAAAAGCCAGTCCTATTTTTACCGACAATCTTGCCCGCAATATCCCTTTCATTGTGCTTCTGCGCTTACATCACATAGTTGTACAAAATAAACTGTTCCAGCCCCAGATATATGAAGCAGAGTGCATAAAGTATCACAAACGAAGCTGCAGCCGAATCTCCCATCAAAAATTGTAAATAAAGCTGCCGCATTTGTTTCCGATGAAGACGAACCAATTATGTCCAGCAAAACAACAGTTCTTTCCAAAAGCTGAGCAGGCATCCAAAATCGAATTACGGTCAACGCCCATACAAACAAAAGCAAAAATATCACCCCTGAAACCCGCCGACGTATTTCGGAGCAGCATTAGATTGATACCCGGCTGCTTGTATGTCAGAAATCTATGAATAGCTCGTCTAGCCAACCTATATTTGGGATATATCGCCGGAACAATAAGTCACGGTTACATGAACTTTCCAATCTCCTTGTTCACGTGAAAGGTGAAAACCGTTGCACAGCATCTGGAAACGCTGAACAATGCCGAAATATGTGTCGCATTCCCTGATTGCATCACTAGCTGATGTGTCAACAATGACAAAGACTCGTCTCAGCAGGTTCGGCGTCTCGCCACCCGCACCGCCCGGTTGCGATGGTCATGGTTGAGCACCGGTGGGGACGCGTCACGCACGACCCCCTCTGAGCACTGGGGGAGCACCATCTGAGTCCAACAGAGGTGTTTTCCAATATAAGCCGGTTCCGGAGACAGGATGGCATCAGTTGACCGCACAGCTCCAGCGGATACACAACAACATGAAGGTGAGTGACAGTGAGGAAGAAACACCAGAGTGGTAAAACCGTAACGGTAAAACGTTAGGAATTTGCAATAACATTTATAGGTGAACAACTTTATGGATCTAATTCAATTACAACTACACCATTTTTCAAGAAAATGAAGCAAACCTTATCTAATTTGTAACTTTGGCGTTATACTTTGCAGGTATTTGTGATCGCCTCGCTGCTGTCCGTCGCCCTGGCGGACAACCCGTCTCAGTACGGAGCACCGGCTCAGGCGTTCAACCAGCAGCAGCAGTACCAGCCGCAGCAGCAGCCACAGCAGTACCAGCAGCCACAGCAGCAACAGTACCAGCCGCAGCAGCAGCAGAAGTACCAGCAGCCGAGCCACGACCAGAAGCCCAAATACGACTACAGCTACGACGTCCGCGGATACGGAGACTACGAGCCCGTCTTCAACGCCCAGGAGGCGCGTGACGGCTACGCCACCCAGGGATCTTACTCGGTTGTGCTGCCCGACGGCCGTACCCAGACGGTCAACTACCGTGTGGATGACGCCTACTCTGGCACCATTGCCGATGTTAAATACGAGGGTGAGGCCCGCTATCCAACGCACCAGCCTCAGCAGGGCTACCAGGCCCAGAAAAGCTCTCGCCCTCAGCAGAGCTACAATGATCTGCAGAACTCTCGCCCTAAGCAGAGCTTCAAGGCTCAGCAGAGCTTCAAGGCTCAGCAGAGCTTCAAGGCTCAGCAGAACTTTCGTCCTCAGCAGAGCTTCAAGGCTCAGCAGAGCGTGAGGCCTCAGCAGAGCTACCAGTTCCAGCAGAGCGCAAGGCCTCAGCCTCGCCCCCAGCAGAGCTACCAGCCTCAGCAGAGCTACCAGTCCCAGCAGAACATTCGCCCTCAGCAGGGCTACCAATCTCAGCAGGGCTATTAGACCCAGCATGAAGATTGGTCTCGGACTCGGGTAAAGACAAAAATCATCGTAATAACTCCGTGTTCCAGCAATCAGAGACCATGCAGCACCCGCAATAGAGCTAACAGTATCAGTAAAACCAGAAAGTCCCAAATGATTATGTGTCACAGTGGCCAAAGTCAGTAGATTAGGGTCATGTTTAATTCTATGTTGATTGTGGATACCTAGGTAGGGTAAGGGCGGGTAAGAGTACGCGGGCGATAAGAGTACGCATCAGCTGTTTCGGTTGCTTAGCAACGCGGGTTTGTCGAGTTCATGAAGTGACATGAAGCCGCCAGTGCGTGCTTGTCACCAACGGAACGTGGGCGTTGAGCGGCGACGCTGTTGAGTTTAAGGCGATAAATATTATTTTCGAGCGTTATGATATTATTATGGTATGGTACAATAATTTTGATACTTGGCAGTTGAGATAAGGTACATTTCCGTGATTGTTGTGGGAAACTTGTGAGGTTATCTGGGGAAATACTGTGCAGTGCAATATTCTGTTTGCGAAGTTTTGCACAACGTTTCGGGGTTGTTTTGTGCGCGAATTGCATGTACGGTAAGAGGACGCACTGTTCAGGAGGGTAAGAGTACGCAGAATTATACATTAAATCGAATATACAGAAATATAAGATTATTAATCTATCGCTCAATGACGTTTGTTTTGTAGGTATGTCATCAATGGAGCACTGTGATGCAGATGGGTACCCGAAATTCTTCCAAATACGAGTTATTCTGTCTTTTGATTGTGCATTTTTTTAAAGAAACACACGACATGATTATTTCCTGATTTATAGACTTGAAAGATTTATTTTGTTTTTCTTTTTGGATACTAGAATTAACTTAGATGCCTTCTGAGTTTGAAGTTAAGCATTTGGACAGTACAAGCTGCATAGGCGTGTGTTCATATGCTTGCGTACTCCACCCGCCTGGCGTGCGTACTCTTACACACCCCATATGGTAAGAGTACGCAACTGCAGTGGTTCAAAAAATGTCAGTTTTAGACCGCTTCCATTTACGCTGAAGGATCGTTGCCCCATGGGTTGATGGCTAATTCAATGAACTTTAATATTCCCTATTTGCCATTTCTTTCTTTCAAATATTAAACAAATGACAGCAAGAAATCCACTAAGTGCGTACTCTTATACGACTTCACCCTATGTGTGATTTTGTATATTATCTGTTATTCTTTTAATAAAAAACTTGAAGCTGTTCCTTGTTTATCGGCCGCCACAGGCAACATAGTTAGGAAATAAGATCCTCATGGCTCATGCCTATATTTAATTTCGTTTTAGATTAGTGACCTTATCCTCGTAGGTTAAAACAAAAGTTAATGCAAAACACTTCTATGGATATTTCGAGCACACTTCTTCATCAGAATAGCAAGTAAAAAACAAACTTAAACAGTATTTAATTTCATTATCAAATTATTGCAATACCTATCTCAATTATTAGCAGTACACTATGACACTGTGTAAAGAATCGAGTGCTTCCAAAACCAATGCGCAAAATGACCATGCCTACATATACAGTAGCTACACACAAACAGCAATATCGATACTTCATCGACTTCCCTAGAACTTTTGCAGAATTGCTTGTATAATTCATATGAATTTTTACTGTCCACATCAGATGACATCTTGGGACGGGCAGGCCCTCGATTTCCTTTGGATGTTTGTGTTGCGCGCATTCTTTATTTACTACATCAGTCTTCTGAGAAAAAATGACGTATGGATATTTAGTGAGGACAAAAGCATCATTTCTATAAGCAAAAAAAAAAAAGTATCACAAGATCATACCTATTAGCGCCTGAAAAACGTGAGAGCAGAATATGTTCCTCGTGCACACCAAGCCACACCCGCCCGACCGCTCTGGTCCGCCGCTGGCTAGGTCACCGTCCAGCTCCGAGCCGTATAAAGCCGCTCCGGTCCGCAGGTCGGCATCAGTTGATCACACAGCTCCACAGCACAATCAACATGAAGGTAGGTGTCATGTTTCTTACAGGTATCTTGGGTGCCATGCTGAAAAGTACATCTGCCAGTCGCCAGAGAAGGGATACTCTACCGGAAAATCAAATGAAGCACAGAATGGCCTAGCACCGACGAAGCACAAGGACAGGTTGCCCAACATGTTGCCGCGTATCTGTTTCGATTATCCGCCCATTGCTTTTAAGCCGTTAACTGGTAGGATTTTCAAAGCATTTGCACTATCCTGGGTCTAACTTTTTTCACAATGAAGAGCATTTATTTCACATACGAACATGCATATACATTTATCATTCGACACATTCTTGTCCTCGCCTTCATCATTTTGTCTGGTGTGTAACATTTTGTCTGATATTTTTCAGTTCTTCGTGATCGCCGCCCTGCTGGCCGTTGCCGCCGCCGACAGCGCGCCCTCCTACGCGCCCAGGCCCGCCTACCACCCCCAGCCGGCCTACAAGCCCGCTCCCTACAAGCAGGAGAGCTACGACCAGCCGCCCAAGTACGACTACAGCTACGACGTCCACGGATACGGAGACTACGAGCCCGTCTTCAACGCCCAGGAGGCGCGTGACGGCTACGCCACCCAGGGATCTTACTCGGTTGTGCTGCCCGACGGCCGTACCCAGACGGTCACCTACCGTGTGGATGACGCCTACTCTGGCAACATTGCTGAGGTCACCTACGAGGGTGAGGCCCGCTACGACGAGTACAAGCCCAGCTACAAGCCCAGCTACCCTCAGCAGAGCTACAAGCCCACCTACAAGCCCGCCTACGGCAACTAAGTCACAAATGCGTGTATTGTATGCCTGAATGAATTCTGTTTGTGTTGTATTTATTGTGTGACGTCCTTTGTCAATAAATCCAAACGATTTTATTTTACTTTTATTCGATTGCGTACCAAAGATGAACACAAAATTTAATACTGATCACAGCATACAATCAAAAGTGATATATAAATAATATATCAACACCATCCCGAACGATTTCGCAAAAGGAAACGAAAAAAGGAACGATTTCTAAGAGAACATATTTTACACGCATCGCTGCTGGCTTCGATTTAAAGAATTGTTTCTCGGCAAGAAGATAAAACAACCCGATATTTTGCGGGGCATCCCGTACCACAAGTCCGCAGAAAGGAAGTGTCACACACTCACATAAAAAAGTCCATTTCTTATTTTACTGCAGCATCGGGTCATGGTGAAGTAAAACGTCGAATATAATGCAAATTATCCATTGATTAGCAACTGGATTATTGATTTCAGCAAGGTCTTTATCTGGGTATAAAAGCTCACTTGTGCTTAATGTATGAGTTAAACATGAGACTTTGGTGAGTTAAAAATGAATGAGTGCAGCATTCTGTCCCCTCTAACGTAACGCAGCGATGATCTTTAGCAAAATACCACACCAAAGAGACATTAATTATGTGCATTGATGAGCGCATTTACTAATTTTTGGGGTATCACGTTTCCATGTAAAAAAGACCAGATAAAATTTCTGTCCGAGTAACTTGCCTGCCCGGCCAATGGAAAGAGAGTGGTCCCATGTAACGTTTTTTTTTGCGATGGTTCAGAACAGGTTAGCGATAAAACGCTTTAGATGAAATATCTGTCCATTGATTGAAACTGTATCTTGTGCCACCAACAACTAGCCTGGGTCAGGTCAGGTCAAATCAGTAACCTATTGCATCATACATAAGTGAACCTCTACACCGTCAAAAATATCGCAGCATTGTAACGCCGCCAGTACCAGGGAAGAACTGTCGCAGAAAGACGAAAGTTGAAGAAAATAAGATTTTTTTTCACGAGTCTTGTATATCTCAGTTTTTCACATACGGGTCTCCTGCCGTTAGGTAGGTCAGGTGATCTGACCATCATTAACCGATAAGAAAAATATGAAAACTTTTATTCTGACGCTGGGAATGATCTTAGTCTATCTAAAAAACATGAAATAGCGATTTCATACCCTATTTGCAAGATTCAAGAGGGTGAGGCCCGCTACGACGAGTACAAGCCCAGCTACAAGCCCAGCTATCCTCAGCCCAGCTACAAGCCCACCTACAAGCCCGCCTACGGCAACTAAGTCACAAATACGTACATTATATGCTTGAATGAATTCTGTTTGTGTTGTATTTATTGTGTGATGTCCTTTGCCAATAAATCCAAACGATCCTATTTCACTTTTATTGGATTGGGTAAGCACGTGCTACCATAGATGAACAGAAAATCTAATATTGATTAATGATCACGGACAATCATATGTAAGTTACATATTATCTTATAATAGCTCAGCACGATTCTGATCCATCACTGAAAACTTTTTTACTCCCGGCTGGGGGGTAAACCCGCTGTTACGGAGTAGCGTACTCCGCAGACGTTTTTTACACCCCACCGTGGAGTAACTCTTCTAGGATACCCTCGCACAGGGAGTAAACCCTTTCGATTTTACCCCCGATCCAGGGGTAAACCCTTTTAATTACACTAGCACAGAAGGGTAGACCCTTTTCATTTACCCTCTGACAGGGAGTTACCCCCGGCGTTAACCCTCTGACAAGGAGTTACCCCCGTTCTTTACCCTTTATAATGGGGTAAAAATTACCCAACGACAGGGGGTAAATGGAAAGGGTAACCCTTTGTCGTGGAGAAAAACGTCTGCGTAGGGTATCGAGAACGAGAAAGACAAAGGCAAAGAACTACCGAAAGAAGAAGAGATAGAGGACAAAGGGAGGGAGAGAGAGAGAGAGAGAGAGAGAGAGAGAGAGAGAGAGAGAGAGAGAGAGAGAGAGAGAGAGAGAGAGAGAGAGAGAGAGAGAGAGAGAGAGAGAGGGAGAGAGAGAGTTTCAATTGGATACAAAACACATTAAAAATCTCACCTCTCGTCCTTCCAACGGCCCCTGCAGCATCTTCCATCTTCTTGGCAAGCTTTTGTATTTTGAAATGATGGGATGAATTTGTCGTGCTTATTGATCGATCAGTCTTCATTTTTCCTTTGCTTAGATGCTATTGATTCACTGCTGCACCGCTTTTTGCCGCACCAACACGCTGAGCACTGCTGCACAACCAACGCCTCTCGAGACACAATATGGCGTCGCGACGCAGTTCCTCCCGCGCATGCGCGGCAAAATTACTCCCGAAACGAGGGTCGGGTACCCGCTCGACCTGAACCCGTGACCCTCGAATCGAGAGTAAAAACGACAGATCCGCTTTTTGAGGGTTATGTACCCCAGATCAGGGAGTACGTGACCCTCAAATCGAGAGTAGGTAAAGGGAGGTGAGCAAGTTGGAGAGTAATTGGAAGGGTAAATTGCAGAACTCTGACTGGTAACAGCAGCATTGACATCACCCCTGGTGAAGTCCTTCGAACCCTGAACAGCTTAGACGCTAATAAAGCTTGTGGTTCAGACAGATTGCCTACGAAAATTTTAAAAATGACAGCATTACTGATTTACGAACCTTTGACACAACTTTTTAACAAATCTCTCACCACCGGAATATACCCCACATCTTGGAAAAAGGCTAAAGTTCGACCAATATTTAAGCGAAAGGGAACTCCGTCTGAATTAAATAATTATCGCCCAATCAGTTTACTTCCGTGCATATCAAAAGTTTTTGAAAAAATTATATTCGCTCATATATATCAACACATTACTGAATTTTCGCTTCTAACCGACAGACAAAGTGGATACCGACCAGGACACAACACTCAACTGCAACTTACATACATGACAGACTTACTGTACAAATCTCTCGACAACGGACGCGACTTCACCACAATATACTTAGACATTTCTCGATATTTTGAAAAGATTTGGCACAAGGGTCTTCTTATTAAGTGTAAAAAGGAGTTTGGAATAACGGACAACTTACTGACGTGGCTTGAATCTTATCTGACGGACCGACAGCAGACAGTTGACATCAATAATATTACATCACAGACACTGACACTTGACGCTGGGGTACCGCAAGGATCGGTTTTAGGGCCACTTCTGGCGATTTTATATTTAAACGGACTATGTGACAAAACCACAAACAAAATGCTTTTTTATGCCGATGACTGCTCTTTATACTCGTCTTACTCTCCAACTGACAACTTTCACGACGCACAAACGACACTACAGAAAGACCTAGACATCATACACAACTACGGACAAACATGGGCTATAACATTCAATGCAACGAAAACCACACAACAAACTTTCTCACATCGACAACAAACTAATCGACCAACCCTTACTTTCGGCGGTAACCCCATTCCAATAGTAAATGACCATAAACATCTCGGCCTCACACTATCCACAGATCTACGCTTTCACACACACATTAATGACATCCTTCTAAAATTTAATCGTTCTTTGGGCCCTTTATACCCAATAGCAAAACACATACCTAAAGGAATGCTTCTATCTCTCTATATTACTTACGTTCAACCTTTCCTCGACTATTATCACAACGACTGACGGCATGCGACTAGAAAAAGCACAAAACAGAGCAGCACGACTGATCACTGGGACTGGACTTCGGACATCGACTAACGGACTGCGACGAGAACTAGGATGGACTTCTTTGACCGACAGACGGAAAATCCACAAACTTCAGTTTTATCACAAAATAATATTCAATCCTATAGTTCCCGAATTTATTAAGACCATTATTCCTAACACAAGACAGCAAAACACAACACGAACTTTACGAAATATTTCAGCTCAAACAATACCATTGGCCAGAACCACATCCTATCACCGATCCTTCGTCCCATCCTCTACAAGCCTCTGGAACACATTGCCCGAACATCTACGCACAAACAAGAACTACTTTACCTTTAAAAAACACCTAAAAGAACTGATTACACAACCCCGTCCACCTCTGTATTATTTCCTAGGCACAAAAACAGGCTTATTTGTTTATTTGTTTATTTTGTTTATTTATTGGCATAGCGTCCACAGGCAAAGCCCCACTTACGGATGCAGTCGCACACTGACAATAACAACCACTCACACACACTGGATGGAAATAAATATGAGTGATAACACTGATCAAAATCCAAATAAATTAACAAGATGGCAAGAGCCTAAAAGTAAACCGACAGGCAACAGCCTAAGAATATAGAAGACATGAGCAAAAGCCTAAGAGAATATACAAGTATAGGCACCTGACTAATGAGCGAGGCTAAAAGTATACTGACATGAGAAATCCCCTAAAAGTAATCAGCACAGGCAATAGCCTGAAATCCTAAAAGAGTGTAGGTATAAGCAAGAATGACAGTGGATGAAATAAAAAGACAAAAAAGACGAAAAATGAGCGTAGACAATGACAATGAGAATAAAACCGGTAACGGCTAGTTGCTACATGAGGAGCTATATCAATGACCTTAGGCTAAGTATGTTCCCTGGTCGTCAGCAAATTTGGCTATCTCCGACCTTAGCCTGCAGCTAGGCATAAAGAAATCGGCCTCGGGGCTGCTGTGGACAAGCGAGTTCACGTGCTGGGGAAGACGAATCAGAAATCCTCGCTTCACAGTGTCCACTCTTCCGCGCGGCACATGAAAGAGCTCGGGACGGCGCGTGCGACGGCCGGGTGCCGATAGAGAAAACATGGCCAAGATGTCGGGACAGTCCAAGCGACCACTGAACACGGAGCGCATGTAGTTGATGTCACACTGTGTGAATCGTGACCTCACTGATTCACAGCCGAACAGTTTAAGCAGCGATGCATAGTCAAGTGAAGGGCACCTCGCCTGTGTCCGGGCGCCCAGCCACATGAGAAAACGGTGCTGTAGTCGCTCTAATCGGCGCAGGTGGGTGACAGCGGCACCCGACCAGATAACACAGCCGTATTCCATTACGGAACGCACGTGCGCCTTGTAGGCGGTGAGGGCTGCGACACAGTCGAACTGCGCTCGATGCACCCGTGTCGAGACCTGCATGCTCCTCATCAGCAAGCCCAGCATGCGGTTCGACTTCGAGACTATAGCGTCAACATGGTCTGCGAAGTTAAGCTTGCTATCTAAGATGATACCAAGGTCACGCACGCTAACACACCTTTCGAGCTGGTGACCGTCGAGCGCGTATGAAGCGACATGAGGTGATGAGCGCAGAGTGAAGGTGATGGTCCTGCACTTGGCCGGGTTGAGCTTCAGGTGCCAGGTCCTTGACCACCGGCTGAGACGGTCCAAGTCAGCCTGAAGGGCGTGGGCATCCTCAGGAGAGGACACACGGTGAAAAATTTTGACGTCGTCAGCGTATGACAAGCAGGATGACCCGATGTGTTTAGGGAGGTCAGCGACAAAGCAGGTGAAGAGCAGGGGGCCCAAGATGCTGCCCTCCGGCACTCCGGAGATGACCGGAGTCCAGTCAGAGTGTTTTCCATCCAGCACTACACGCTGGGACCGCTGGCTAAGGTAAGACTCAACCCAGCCAAGTGCAAGACCCGATATGTTAAAAGAGTGCTCCAGCTTGTGTAAAAGCAGCTTGTGGCTTACACTGGTAAAAGCTGACGAGTAATCTGTGTAGATAGCGTCCGTTTGCGATCCCTTTGTCAGTGAGGTCCAGCAGTGTTCCAAGAAACAGGTAAGGTTGCTCATGCAAGAGCGTTTTGGGAGAAATCCGTGCTGGGAAGGAGGCAGTGCAGGAAGACATGCACGGAGCAGGTCCTCGCACACTACCTTCTCCAGAATTTTGGAGCAGAGTGATAATAAAGATACCGGTCTGTAATTAGATGGAAGCTTTTTAGAGCCCTTTTTGAAGACGGGAATGATGTTGGCCCGCTTCCATGACGATGGGAACACTCCGGACCGCACTGACAATCGACATATGATGTCGAGGGATCGCAATCTCCTCAGCACACTCGTGAATAATTCGTGCGCTGAGGCCGTCAGCGCCGCAGGCATTGTGAGGGCTGAGCTCACGCAGGAGCTGCGCCACTCGACCACTGGGTACGGTGAACGTGGACAGGCCTGGGGCGTCGAGAACAGGGGCGGCTGGTAAGTCGCCGACGTAGGGCGCGCTGAACTTCTCTGAGAAGCACTGGTTGAAACAGTTAGCTCTAGCAGGCGCATCTGTCACCAGCCTACCAGCATACTCTAAGACAGGAGATACGTGGTTATTTGACTTCAGGGACTTGATAAAAGTCCAATATCGCTTGGGATTATCCTTAAAATCACGGACGAGGCCCAACAAATACGCTCTATATCCAGCATCAGCCTGACGTTTAAACTCAGCTCTGGCTCTAGCATGCTGCTCTACATTCGCAGCGCAGGGGTCCGCCTTCTTACGCCTGTGGGCCCGTTCCTTCTCCCGTAGGAGATCCCTGACAGTGCGATCGAACCATGGTGGGTATTTCTGGCGCAGCTCTATGATAGGCACATAGTCACTAACAGCGGCAAACACAGCGTCATAGAAAAACTCTACTGCACCGTTGACGTCCATAGCCTCGAGCACAGTCCAGGGCACCGCGCGCAAGGCGTGACGCAGGCCGGCGAAGTCAGCGCGCTTATAATTGTAGACCCTGGTTCTGGATGCTCGGGGCGCGGGGCCGGTGTCGATTCTGAGACGCGTCTCGACCACACGGTGATCGGAGGCGAACAGCTGTTCCCGCACCTCCGACGTCACAGTGCCTCCTGATGACACCGCCAGGTCGAGGACGTTGTCGCCTCGAACATTTTAATTTAGGCAACATTTTACACACAAAACTACGACTGAATACTTCAAAACTTAATGCTCATCTTTTCTCCATACAACAAGCTAATTCACCCTCTTGCACTTGCGGCTATAATTCTGAAAACACAAAACATTTCCTACTTTCCTGTCCACTTTATCATACTCAGCGAAACATTCTTTACAACACCGTGTCGCCCGTCATCCGCACTGACTTTTCCACTCTCCCTTCCTCCAAACAACTCGACATCCTTATCCACGGTACAGACCTGAGTCGTGAGGAGGGCCGTGTGGTTGCCACCGCTGTCCAATCCTTCATCATCCTTACCCATCGCTTATAAAATACAACATCCCAAGTCCCAATCCTCACCACTACCGTGGTCGGACGAGTGGGCGCGGTGCGGGGCAGCCTTGCAGTGCCGCCGGGGTCGTGGAGCGTTACCGGGCTTGGGCGGTCCGGTCGATCGACGATCACTTTGACATGTTTTGCAACATAAATATTTTTATTCCGTTCTTCTTGTTCCATTGTGTTTCATCATTATTATTGTTGCTAAATACGTTAAGTACTTCTCGCTTAGCAAGCGGCGCCATGATTTAAGTGCGTAGCACTTTTGCGCCAATTGCATACTTTATTTGTTATATTCATCTGTTTGTTATTGAATAAATGGTCTCTCTCTCTCTCTCTCTCTCTCTCTCTCTCTCTCTCTCTCTCTCTCTCTCTCTCTCTCTCTCTCTCTCTCTCTCTCTCTCTCTCTCTCTCTCTCTCTCTCTCTCTCTCTCTCTCTCTCTCTCTCTCTTTCTCTCTCTCTCTCTCTCTCTCTCTCTCTCTCTCTCTCTCTCTCTCTCTCTCTCTCTCTCTCTCTCTCTCTCTCCCGTTTCAAGGGTGACCCCTTAAGATATACCCCCGTTTCGAGGGTATACCCCCCAGCCGGGAGTAGAAAAGTTTTCAGTGAGGGTTTATACGAGAACATATTTTACACGTCATTACCAATAGATGTGGTGGCTGCGATTTCAAGAATTGCTTCTCAACGAAACCATCAACTATCCCGATATTTTCTGGGGCATCCGGTACGGGGACCCACAGTTGCTACTGTACACGAACCCCAACTCTAGCCGTCTGTCCTATCCAGTAACAACCGATAACATTGATATCGACTACCGATCCCTGTATACGAGCAGCTGAGGTTTTCTGTGCGTGCCCTCTGACAGCTTATCGTTGTTCCCTGTGAGGGTGCTGGGACAATTTACTCAGGGTCGCTGTACAGAAACAACTGCGGGTCCCCGTACCACATGAGTGCAGAAAGGTGAAAAAGTGTGACAAACTCATATAAAAAGTTCATTTCTTATTTCACTATGGCATCGGGTCATGGTGAAGTAAAACGGAAAATATATAATGGAAAATTATCCTCAGATTAGCAGCGAAACCTTGCATTAATAATTTCAGAAAGGCCTTTATCTTGACATGAAATCTCCCGTGTCGCGCCTAATGTAAGGGTTAAAACATGTGACTTGTGCAGCGTTCGGTTTCGTGTAATGTAACGCAACGATGATCTTTAATAAAAATAGTTACGACACCAAAATATTAATTATGTGCATTGATGGGGGCGTTTTCAAGGATTCTACGGTCTCACGTTTGAGTGTAAAAAGACCGGAGAAAAGTCCTGTCCGGGTCACTTATATGCGTGTATATTGCCATATTACCATAGATCACTGATTCGACCTGACCTGGCCTAAAATTGTGGCTGGTTGCGTAAGAACCGGCTTCAGTTAATGGCCAGATATTTCAACTTTTAACGTTTCACGGCTAATGCGTTCTAAACAATCGTAAAAAAACTCGTTGCATGGAACGAACTCTCTCCCCCTCGGCCGGTAAGGCATACAAATCTGACATATACTCATACACATACATGAATAAAGACACACCAGTAAAACACTTGATACATGTGATAAAAGCAGTAATAAAAGCGACAAATAAAGGTACTCCAGTGCAGCGGGATAAAAACAACGATTTGAAATGTTACGAAGAAATACGCTGGTTCCACGCTGCAGTCGCTCTATAGAGAAAACTCCTCTTCGCTAATTCGGTCCGAACTCTCGGCAACTGCAACTGTCCCCCTGCTGTTGCTCGAGTGGTTCGAGAACATACGTCGGCCCCAATGAGGAGCTTATGTGACGTCATATAAGTCGTTGCTATGGTCGCTTGAGGCCATGGGAGTTTTTCATCCATGTATGTATAATCCCCGACCAAAGTGAGCTCACAGTCGAGAAGGGCACCAATAAACTCAAATTGAGCTGCCAAATAGAATGACATGCTTCATGACCTTCCTTGCCGACCCTTACCGTGGTACCCTTTCGTAAAGAGCAGCATACATCTGACCAAGTAAAAGTGATGCACATTAGGAACAACAGACCTTTCAATGTTAAGTGTACACTGTATCACTTATTGCCGCCGTCTCGCTGGGTTCAGTTTGTATCGGTTTTGGCCTCATCAACGTAAAAAAAACACACACACAAAACGCTGTTAGGTTTTTATCGTTAGGAAATTCGTAACTTCGTAGAATTTGCGCAAAGGATTGGAGTGCCAAAAGTTGGTAGTTACCTCTCTTTATATTTATATCTCCTTGTGGCGTCACGATGACGAGATATTTAGCATAATTATTGGCCCCCTTTGAGGAGCGTCACCGCATTGTCTGCGCTTGCGTGGGGTCCGCCGGAAGAGACAGCGAGGCCCCGGCAGTCGGCTCTGAACAGCGGTTTCGGCTTTCATCTCAGGAGTTCTGACTTTGGATTCGTCTAGGATGCTTGTTTGGATAGCTGTACGGGCGCTTGCTTTTATAAGACCGCATTTAAAGCTATGCTCTGACAATACATTGAACTAAGACTATCATATCTTGATCCACAAAAACAACGTAACACGGTGAAGCTAGTAACAGAAATCAGTTTCTGAAGGAACAAGGGAATGAGTAAAGAACCTTCTCATTAAAAAAAATAAATTGATAAAAAACACACACCTAACAATGCAATTATTAAAAGCCAAATCGAATCCCTTCTGCCTCTTCAGCAGAGTGCAGCATGTGCTCTGACAACCGGGCCACACCCGCCCGACCGCTCTGGTCCGCCGCTGGCTAGGTCACGGCCCGGCTCCGAGCCGTATAAAGCCGCTCCGGTCCGCAGGTCGGCATCAGTTGATCACACAGCTCCACAGCACAATCAACATGAAGATAGGTGCTCGACAACAAAACAACTGCCAAATTATGTGGGGAATTCAAACTATAGAGTCTAGAACAGTGGTCGGCAGGTCCTCCGGGGTCGTGCCCCCTTTTTTGGCGCCAGGCAGGGCCATTACCCCCACCTACCAGACCCCATTGGTGATACAACCAAGGTTACTGAAATTCCATACTTTTCCGTGACTCTTTGGGTACCATATCTGCGAGAAACCGCTGCATTGAGTGACAGATCTCTTTCAAGCTTTCAGGAATTGATAAAGGCAACAACATGTACAAAATTTGTATCTCGGAGATTTGATGTCGGTGACTAAAGTTCAGGTCAATTTCACGCCCTCTCCCATTATCAATGGGAGAGGGCGCAAAGTCAATGGTAGAAAATTGAAAGGCGCCTGTTTTGGACCAGTGTCATTCCTAACACTGTGACACTCTTATTTACAAGTAAACATGACCGCTGAACCGGAAAACTGCACCCGTAACCCCACTGTATGTCCCTGAGGTCATTTCAGGTAATGAATGGTCTAACAGCTATTCGCTAATAACTTTGATAAAGGCATCCCAGAGCGATGAAAATGCCTTAGATGTGTTCAGCTCGACGATACGGGTCGACTGATGTGCAACAAAACCTTCGATGCTTCTCGACGGGAGGATCACGATGCTGATACAAGTGAGCTCTTGCAAGTTTTGAGTGAAAAGTTATTTAAGAAAAACTATCAGCAAGCAACGTACATTTTCAATTTTGGCAGCTTTTGTCTCCTGCAGGCTAAACCGTCTTCGGTTGAATCTGAGGACAGGCATCAGAAAAAACGTTAAGAGAGCTATCGAATGCGTTTTTCCGCAGCGCTGTAGCTCTATCCTTTCCTGAGCTATAGGCCAGTTTATCGAAAATTGTCAAAGGTTGACCTGGAACTTGGCGAAATTTTACGTTCGATGACCTCTGGTGACCTGACCTTTGATTTGACCTAAAAGGTGACCATAGTTTTTTCTTCATCATTTCTTACGCTCTTTCGATCGCCGACTACGGCGTTTCGCTAGTGAAACAGGAGCCAAGTTAATAGGGGGTGTTCAACCTCCATCTCCAGCAGGGCGTGGAAATCCAGGAGCCCCAGCGGGGCGCGGGTTAACCCCCATACGTATAGGTGTAGCGGGTATTTTTCGAGAATAGATCACATTAAAAGGGTCGGATCACGAAAAAAACTGTACCATCGAGCCGATCATTTTTATCTGTCCTGAAAATGGCATGACCTTAACCCGAATAACCGTTGATTTGTGAGATCTTTCTTGAGATCATGGCAGGCCACAAAATCTCACCTCAAGAAGTTACAGCAGGACCCGATTAACTCGGCAGTTGTTATTGACCTATGGAAGGTCACCCAATGACCCACGACCTTTAAATTGGGTAGCAGCAGCTGCTTATCTTCACGGGCAACACGCTCAATTTTTCTGCCAAGCTCCAGCTCAGAGACCGAGATGCTCAGGTCAGGGTGCAATGGACGACTCCTCTCCCTTGCGTTAGTGACTGTGAAAACGCCAATAGACGAGCGCCGGGTAGTACATGACAGTTACTTTCCACGACTGTACGGAATGGTGAGCAGCTACATGAAAATTGGCATGGGCCAGCTAATCAGTTCATGCTTTGTGCGTTTGACCTCGACTAATCTTTGAATCCTGGGGCACAATAGTTGCGATGTTTGTCCCATCAAGGGAGCCATTAATTCTAAAAAAGATGAGGCTTTCTCAGAGGCCCTCATTACCCCCCGCCGAAGGGCGCCATTACCCCCAAAGGGGGCATGCCCCACCATTTGCCGACCCCTGGTCTAGAAGCACAGAACGCCAAACATTGCAGAAGCACCCAGAACGGGTGCCACCGTTTAAAATGTTACAGCGTGCTCCTTTCGAACATCAGCACATTGCTTGAAAGCCGTTCACTGTTGGGATTTTCAAAGCATATGCGCTACCCCGGGTCTTACACATTCTGTGGTCTTTTTCAGTTCTTCCTGGTTGCCGCCCTGCTGGCCGTTGCCGCCGCCGACAGCGCGCCCTCCTACGCGCCCAGGCCCGCCTACCACCCCCAGCCGGCCTACAAGCCCGCTCCCTACAAGCAGGAGAGCTACGACCAGCCGCCCAAGTACGACTAACAGCTACGACGTCCACGGATACGGAGACTACGAGCCCGTCTTCAACGCCCAGGAGGCCCGTGACGGCTACGCCACCCAGGGATCTTACTCGGTTGTGCTGCCCGACGGCCGTACCCAGACGGTCACCTACCGTGTGGATGACGCCTACTCTGGCACTGTTGCTGAGGTCACCTACGAGGGTGAGGCCCGCTACGACGAGTACAAGCCCAGCTACAAGCCCAGCTACCCTCAGCCGAGCTACAAGCCCACCTACAAGCCCGCCTACGGCAACTAAGTCACAAATAAGTGCATCGTATGCTTGAATGAATTCTGTTTGTGTTGTATTTATTGTGTGATGTCCGTTGTCAATAAAGCCAAACAACACTGCTACATTTTCTTTGATTATGTATGAGTGGGAATAATGACACATACAATCTAAAATAAGTTACGGGGTTGCTATTGTAAATTTCGCATTGTTGTCCTTAAAGTGACAAAGAGGACGCTTGTATACATACCAAAGTTATACCTTCAGTCATGAATGACTCCTGAAAGACAAATGGACATGAAAAAGGAATTAACCTGCGCGTCGCTGGGTCTCCTGAATATTCAATGTTCAAGTGTCATGTAAAACGTTATTGCAGAAAACACATTTCGACAGAAACATTATTTGGACGGCTTTGTCACTCTGGATGCCAAGCCTGGTCAAAGCTGAGAGCACATCAGCGAAAAGAGCCGTAACGACAGGTTGTGGTGTTATGATACGAGTAGATGCTATTCTTCTTAAAACTAAAAAGTTATCCATATGATGTGCTCGGACCGATAACAAGTACCCGTAATCGCCAAGCCGTAATCGCCACGCTGTACGAGTATGTGGAAGGCTTGTGATGTCAATACATAGGTACATGCATGCATACATAGATACCCTAAAGGGTGTTCCAAAAGTTTGGCAACATCCATTCACCCACGATGTATACCTTCACCGCTGATATAAATGTTATATCGATGATCTTGTTGCCATGAGTAGACAGCACTATTTCCCATACGCAGCATTCGCAGAAGCTGCCACAACGCATGACTGACCTCGCTTACGGCGACTGTTAGCTGACCCGGCCCTGGGTAAGTCCAAGGAACGCAGGATACCAAACGGGCCAAGCGGCCAGAGAATATGCGATCACGGGCTATTGTATTACTGAACAGGGATGTGCCTCAGCAGTTGTAGATTAACAGTTTGGAGTCCACCGGATCACAGCCTAGTCTTGATGGCAACGACGCCTTTTCGAGGGGAAAAGCATTGACCAATATAGAGCGCTCCGGCCAGCCATACACAGAGTCTCAGATATCGTTTGCACCAAAGTTAGAGGCACCAGCATGGGTGTCGTTTTGTATAGGCTTGGTGGGGCCCGAGTCCTACCAGCAATTTCAGAACATTAACATTAACCCTCTGCATGGTAAGAATGGCTTTGGTATCACAAAATTAACCATTAGAGCCTTACATACCAATGAATTTCGGAAAGTGACACCCGTGCCGTGGGCACCAGAGGATAACGCGTGAGGAGATTGGCATTGAATCTAACGAGAAAAATGCTACCCGAATCCTGAGTCAATCATACACCGTCTCATGACAAAGGCCAGTCCAAACAATTTTGGCCTCACATTAGTCTAAAACAACCTAAAATAAAGGAAAGAAGAGAAAATTGTTAGATATCCGTTTTGCAAAAGAACGAAAATGAGGCTTCGACCAATTTAAACAATTTATGCGGGCCAAGTAGTCTGCCTTAGCCAGAAACCAGACAATCTAAACGATCGGACTGGGCGAAATTTGCGTATAAAGTGCCACGGATTGTAACCGCCACACATCTTCTATAGCTCATAGTAGGGGCGAAATGCACGAAAAGGGTTTACTGGTTTTACGTTGAATCCCCAAAGCAGGTATTCAACACGACAAGCACCGTGTCGCGTCAAAAATCATGTAAGGCTAACTCATAGCAGCGGTCGAGCGTACGAGCACGAACGGCGCCGTCACGGAATGGAAACTCTGCGATTCAATGTCACGACAATTTTCAGGGAAGATGAAGCACCAGGGCACAACGCAAAAAAATAGGGCGCGAATTGCGGAATATCTTTTAGGTGCTTTAAAGGAAAAGGGCCACCTTCGTGAAATATGAAGATATCGTTGTTTTTCATTTTGACATTATTATTTTTCATTTTCTTTTTAAAACTGGTGCCAGAATTGCACAATTCGCGAAAAAGTATTTAAAACTATTTAACATATTGGTACTATGTTGATACTCTCTACGGCACCTACTGTATGATGGCATAGCGATGACGTCACACTCAAGCCAATCAGCGTTCAGAAGACAGACTCGTCGGATTGTGTCAGATAAGCTGATTGGTTAAAGCTGAGCTGGTTGGAGCTGATTGGTAAAAAACCAAAGCCTCGCCGCGGGTGGCTGTATTGTCGGATTAGAACGCATTCCTGGGATAAGGACGCATTCCTGGCATATTTTCTTTTAAAATTGCCGATAACTACGAATGGAGGCCGAAATCGGCCGTAAGGAGGTAGACAGATAGGTTTTCGGACACGGGCTACAAGATGGCTATCTCAGTTTCAATCCCCATGTTAAAGGTGGCCCTTTTCCTTTAACCCGCGCCCTGATGGGGGGGGGCCATTTTGGCCCCCCCCCCCCTGTGGTTTTTCTTAAATAGCGAGGAAAACGGCGGCGCGCAGCGCCGCCAAATTTTGGGTACCTTACCGGGCATCAATTTGACACCTTCACACAAAATTTCAAGTCACAGGTCACCTCAGGTCAGGAGTTATTGAGGTCAAACTGAGGTCATGTTCGAGAAAAAATGAGCAAAAAACATGACATCTTGAAACGCTCACCAATTCTACAGGTAACAAGCAATTTTAAAGTTCTTTATGTGGTTGTATAGAGAAAAGACGGCGCTACAAAACTGCTATCTCGGATTTTCAAAATTTTGGGATTTTGACCCCCAAAAATCAAAAAATTGATTTTTTTAGAAAAACTCAAAAAATTTGCAAATTTTTTTCGAATTTCGAAAAAACCGGAATATATGTGATAGTCCCTACGCTCTTAGATATACATACCAAATTTTAGATCGATACCTCTTTTTTTGGCCAAGTTATAGCAAAAAAAAACTGTTAAAAATTGATGACGTCAAATTTTTGAACTCAATTTTTAGCAATTCTAGACCTCGTAGCGCAAAACAGAGACCACCATTGAACTCCCCGTGACGAGCTGCATCGAATCGATACCCATTTTATGCAAAAATATCAACTTTGAAATTTGACCTTATTTGACCTGACCTTGACCTGACCTTGACCTGACCTTGACCAAAACGTGACCTAAGCTGGCCCTAAAGAGTGTCTGACCCACATAATCGCATTTGTCATGTAAAATGGACCATAAAACATGTATCACACGACACTTTCATATTGTGACCCCCCCAGTGACCTGACCTCTGTGACCTGACCTGGTATCAGTGACCTCAAATAGCAAAATATGTGTTTGAAGAACATTTCTCCACCGATGATTTTCAATGAAATGCATTTTACTCGATTTTACAACGCATTTCTTGAAATGCCTGTAAACGGTGAAAATTCGACCTTTGACCTGACCTGTGACGTCATCGGTTTGACCGAGGTCAATGAAATTGGGTCACAAGGTAGTTCCCCGTTGGGGCTATCCAACACCGTTTACCGCTTGTCGCTATGTTGCGTGGTTCTCGAGATCTGAGGGGGGGGGGGCAAAATGCCCCCCCCCCATCAGACCGCGTTGCTCGGCAGACCCCATCTGGGCGCGGGTTAAGAAGAAGGACCGGGCAGCCTCCACGACCTAAATTCATTTGAAAACACGCTTACGATTGTGAAGGAAAGCCTATATCAGGACGAGCCAGCTCGAGCGGCGTCTGAAAAAAAATGTTGAGAAATACCGGCGAGAAGCTGTGCAGCTTCGCTATGTACACGCGGCTTCGTGATGCTTATCTGCTTGTCGAATAAAATAATGTCAACAAAAAGGCAGTCCTGAAAACCAAGCCATTATGATGTTGCAAAACTGTTGGGATATCCCGTACAGTGGTATACCTCACTGCTATCTGACATAATATCTCGTCCTCAGGAGCGTCCCGGCGTTGGCCACGCCCGTCCATCGGCGAATGTCTAGGTCACGGCCCGACTCCGAGCCGTATAAAGCCGCTCCGGTCCGCAGGTCGGCATCAGTTGATCACACAACTCCACAGCACACTCAACATGAAGGTAGGTGCTCTCCTAGCCGCAGCTGTATGTATTTGGAGGTTTAGTTAAAGGTAGTGTGCCACCTTCCAATGATTTCCCATTTTATTTTTCCTAGGATAAGAAGCTTCTGTTTTCACCTAATATCGCAAAAAAATCAAAAATGGGCCTGGAATAGTTCCTTTTTTGCCTAAAAGTTTATCGGTTTTTCTATATGTATAACAACTGTAGTGGGCTGACCTGCAAACAGGTGTCGGCAACAATCGCGAATGCGGCGCACATGTGACAATAAGCAAAGGTCATTATAGAGTTACGACGTACGGGAATGAGTTATCAGATGTCTAATCGTAGACAACACAATGTCGAACTTAAACTGTAAGCCGGTGGTATTGTTTCTTTAATTTGGCTGTCGAACATTAATTTATGGTTTGAAATATGATTTTATGTAAAATAATTGATATGAAACAGCCGTCTCTTAAATTATGACCCCATTTCACCACACGCAAGTGGCAGAAATGACAATGATCAGCTGACGCATTTTTCTTGGCCGAAGTCAGAGCGCGCGGCCCGACGCACCACCACCACAAATTCCGACCTCGACGAGCATCAGAAGCCACCTAACAGGCGTGTTCGAAACCGCAGGAGATGATGATGAACGGGTTTATCGAAACTTGATTGGATGACCCTATCGGCAATAGTGATTTTAGTGTGTGCATTCCATTCCATTGTTCATAGTGGTGTGAAATGTGGTTGGGGTACGACCGACAATCCATCGGGGCGAATTTCGCACTGAGGTACTCAAAATTTGAAGAATTTAAGACGTTTCCATGAGTTTTGAAGGTATGGATAAGTTCTAAAAATCCGGTTCTCCTTATCCGGGTCATTAACTCCATATGGTCCAGGAAAGCTGGCACACTACCTTTAAGTAAACCCAGGTGGAGCGGTCGAAAGGAAGGGAAATGGTATGAAAAACTGCGAAATGGGACATGGTTTCAAATATTGAGCAGCCATTAGAACAGCTTCGTAACAAATCGAAAGATTCTTCGCCGTAGTATCGCTTTATATGAATTGAGCATCGTATTTTGTTTCAGTTCTTCGTGGTCGCCGCCCTGCTGGCCGTTGCCGCCGCCGACAGCGCGCCCTCCTACGCGCCCAGGCCCGCCTACCACCCCCAGCCGGCCTACAAGCCCGCTCCCTACCACCAGGAGAGCTACGACCAGCCGCCCAAGTACGACTACAGCTACGACGTCCACGGATACGGAGACTACGAGCCCGTCTTCAACGCCCAGGAGGCGCGTGACGGCTACGCCACCCAGGGATCTTACTCGGTTGTGCTGCCCGACGGCCGTACCCAGACAGTCACCTACCGTGTGGATGACGCCTACTCTGGCAACATTGCTGAGGTCACCTACGAGGGTGAGGCCCGCTACGACGAGTACAAGCCCAGCTACAAGCCCAGCTACCCTCAGCCGAGCTACAAGCCCACCTACAAGCCCGCCTACGGCAACTAAGTCACAAATACGCGCATTGTATGCTTGAATGAATTCTGTTTGTGTTGTATTTATTGTGTGATGTCCTTTGTCAATAAATTCAAGTTATCGTATTCAAGTCTGTACATATTGAGTAAGCGCTTGGTATCTGAGAAACCCAACTCAGGTCAGCAATACCTAAATTCCTGGGGACATTTTAGATTTACTGCTGCTCTTATCAATCGTAGAAAGCTTCAAAGTGATTGTTCAGTAGGTGTAGCTATGACGAGCATGGTGACTTCACGAAGTAAGGTTTATCAGGTCTGAGGTGAAGTCCGAGGTAACCACAACTTGAACTAAAAAGGTTATCTTAAAAGCTGACCTAAGGTCGAGATCATGACGCAACCGGAAACGGTCATAGTACAGATCGGGCGATCTGTATTGAAGAGCTGAACAGCCTCAAGGTGTTTTCCTCGCTCTGGCATGTTTATATAAAAAGTAAATGTGAAAAGTGTTGGAAATATTTAATGACCTGAGATGACCTCAGGTGCATAAACAGATGTCCGGAGTGCCATTGATTTATTTAGAAATTTACTCAATAGACCGTCAATAGGCACCCACTAAAAGGATTCACAAGAGTAAAAGCAACAAATATGACACACACAAGCAGCACACAGAAACACACGTACACCTATACGCTCTGACATAAAATGCAAGAAGATATGAAAAAACAACGAAACATACAAAACAATAGGCAATGACGTAAAAGTAAACAGTAAAAAAGTAGTTTATGAACGATAATTAACATGAAATAGTTTTAAAAGCCCACCTAAAATCGGAGAATAATAATGCAGGTACAGGGTAAACCAGAGATATATGCAGAAACAGTGATACATGTTTGTTTGTTTGTTTGTTTGTTTGTTTGTTTGTTTGTTTGTTTGTTTGTTTATGGACATATCACCAACAAGCTGACACCCAATTACTGATGAAGTCATATGATAAAATACAGAACGGTAAAACATAAACGGGGCATATTCCATATACACGGAAATGAGTTAAACGACATAAATGAGTAAAACGTAGAAATGAAATGAAAACAAGTTTAAAGCGCAACAAAACTAACAATGATAAAAAGTAGAAAAATCCAGCACCAACAGTGACTAGCAGCAAGAAGGTGACGGTAAGCTCGTAAGGTATTTCATGGCGTGAGCTTTGTACGTAAAACAAGCTGGTCGCGTAGCAGTCGTCTTTGGAGTATGCGAGGAATGACTTTGCCTCTCTTGTGACACGACAGTTCAGCCCGTTTTGGCTGCTGCGGGTGAGGCCCACAGTAAACTGCTGCAGTGCGCGTCCGTTGGGTAGGCACGCGTACTCGTATGAGCTATCGGCATAGGGGTATCTCAGGCATTTCTTTTCCGAGCAGAGACCCTTCAGGAACAGGAGGTCATGTTGGGCCCTTCGGGGGGGGGGGGGGGGGGGGGGGGGGAATAAAAAGCACGGAACAGCTTGGATAATTAGGTAATAGAAGGGTTGAAGAACTGAGCTGATCTTATGTCACCGACATCAAAATTCCGAAATATTTATGCATTTCATACATAGATAGATTGGTTTCAATTTCTAAGAGTCAATTGCCATGATTTGTCTATGATGTAGATGCAATTGTGTTATGTGTAGATGGATGAACCATTAACAATAATGGAGACGTTCTCAAGCAATGCCCAATCAATGTAAAATGTAACATGATGCCAGCAAATCCTACTGTGCCAGAAGCGGTGTAGTCAGTTGGTGTAGCAATGACGATCATTAGACATTTTCGTGAGGTGATGTCGCTTAAGAAATTTTTGAGGAAAGCCGTAAGGGGAAGGGGTGTTAAAACATCATCCCCCCATCCCAGCAGCTCATGGGTTAAAACATTAGGTTTGATGCCACGCGGCCACAACAAAAAGAAGAATTATCCCACTGACCTGGGTTTGCACTAGGGGTAGATACAGGATACCACTCACGATTACTCATACCAGCCCGACAGACCAATGTAGAATTATCTTCAGTTCACAAGATCTCCTATCTGATTGACCATCGCCTTCGGCCGGCGTCATCTGACCACGCCCGTCCATCGGCGAATGTCTAGGTCACGGCCCGGCTCCGAGCCGTATAAAGCCGCTCGGGTCCGCAGGTCGGCATCAGTTGATCACACAGCTCCACAGCACACTCAACATGAAGGTAGGTGCCCTCGAAACCGAAGCTGTGATTGGGATGACTGGTAAACCAAGGTCTCAAGGAAGAAAGAATGGTGTGGAAAATTTCGTGAATGAGAGCTGCCATCAAATATTCAACAACCATTAGATTGCTGATCATGCAAACAGTCATTCGCCGTGTCACTTTATATGAATTCAACATTGTTCCATGTTTCAGTTCTTCGTGGTTGCCGCCCTGCTGGCCGTTGCCGCCGCCGACAACGCGCCCTACACCACTCCGGCGCCCACCTACGCCCCGACCTACAGGCCGACCTACGCGCCCAGGCCCGCCTACCACCCCCAGCCGGCCTACAAGCCCGCTCCCTACCACCAGGAGAGCTACGACCAGCCGCCCAAGTACGACTACAGCTACGACGTCCACGGATACGGAGACTACGAGCCCGTCTTCAACGCCCAGGAGGCCCGTGACGGCTACGCCACCCAGGGATCTTACTCGGTTGTGCTGCCCGACGGCCGTACCCAGACGGTCACCTACCGTGTGGATGACGCCTACTCTGGCAACATTGCTGAGGTCACCTACGAGGGTGAGGCCCGCTACGACGAGTACAAGCCCAGCTACAAGCCCAGCTACCCTCAGCCCAGCTACAAGCCCACCTACAAGCCCGCCTACGGCAACTAAATAGATCGTACCCAGTATTTTCGTATAAATAGGACATTTGGAAAGTTATTTATTTATTTACTTGATGCTATCGTCATGACATGTGCCATCATCGGCATGTTATTCATCTATGCAAATATATGATGTTTTACAACAAACCTTTTATTGGAGTCTGACTGTGTAAGTCGAAGACGTGGCAGTGTGCCATACAGATCATAGTTTAAGCATCAATACCAGAGGCGAGAATAAGCATGAAGTGTAATGTAACATAAAACGAGCACAGAAGAACGTCACAACCGACAGCAAGGAAAGTACAACGTCAAACAGGAAACGTGTGAAATAAATGCTTCCAGGCCATGATGAGAGGAAAGGGGACCTCAGACGAGGAAAGCATCTCTCTGAGCAACCCTCTCCCGAGGCACAGCTAGATTCAACTACCTGAGCAGCACCAATAAGACAAATTTTCCCTAACGATAGCATAGTTGGGTCGGTTCCACGATTCAGCCGTTCACTTTGACATTCTGGCGACAGCCCCAAGATGTGTCGAATCCTATCGTGAACATGATGCCACTGCTTTGGGTCGTAAGGCTGCATTAGTGCCAACAACACCATATTAGGAGATCGCTTTAGCTCTGTTTATTGGATATTGAAAGAAGTAACTTCCGACTTCACTTGGCAAGCCCCACCTAGTGGCAGTTCCGTTGACCCTGAGGCACAACCGGGATGTCCGCGGACCTTGTTCGGAACTAATGGCGCTGGACAACCCGACCCACCAAGTCACTTTCCTTTGACATTACCACGACAAAGTGACTAGTAACACTTGGCAATATGACGAACCAGCCATGTGGAGGGCAGTCGCTAACTTCTTTCGCCGAGTTCCATTATGGTTCACGTGAACTCCGCGCAGTGCATTTCAGCTGATCCGGGATCCGGTTTGATGTCAACGGCTTAATTGCGTCAATAACCCATGTTAAGCATCGTGTAAAATTGCGACTCATCAATTCTATCTAAGACGACTACGCCGTCGTATTTTTTTTCATTCCATAGATGACGTAAACTTGATTTCGCGGAGAGCGCCGCAACTGACAGCGCTTTACGTTCCTCGGGCACCGCGAAATTGCGGAAAAGCTGCCGACGTGTGTAGCTCACAACAACAAAAATGCCGAGACGGAACAATACGACTGAGGGATAGGTAAACACGAAACATAAAACTGCTTCATTTATTTCAGCTGCATATTGAGTTGCTAAATAGTAGATACCATACTAACTTCAAATGGCAAACATGGAGCTCAAACCTCCTGAAGTTTCAGAAATCCTCAGCAAATATAACCTGATGAATGGTATGACTGGGTATGACGCCTCGTTGCGGGCGGCCTTGCACGCATTGGTGGAAATGTGTGGGGTAGTTCCTCTCGTTCATGGCTCGTGCGCTGACTCTGACCACTCAATGACGGTGAGCTTACCAGGAACAATAGGACCTTGTCACAAGCACCGCTCCGTCATTATAACGCCGATAAAAGAACGATGTAGTCCTGACTTTCAGACAACCGGAAAGGACAAAGTGTCAACGGTAAAAATAACCCAGCCAAGGGCAGTCGCGATAACTAACAACAATCACTCCTAAGCACAGCCTCAGTTCTAGCTTGCGCCGTGTTTTGTGCCGTTCTGGTTCGTTGACACAGCTATTGTTGGACAAACTGTACTGATGAGACCTGTGATGGCATGGCGGATTTATACCGGAAAACATAGTCGATGTGAACCCTGTTCACGGCACAAAACATGCTTCGTTGTAGTCATTTTGCACGCTACATCATAGTCATCAGCGCTGTACGGCCACAGCCTCTGGGTGCATTGTTTACCGGCTACGCACCGTACCGGTTTCGGCGGAGGTTATATAGGAGTCGGCTGGCCACCGGGTTTGTACCAGTTCGCCCAGTGCCGCCTTATGGACAACACTAAGGTGAGAGTGTCAGGGGGTGGTGAAAGGTGGGGTTGTACTAGTGCACCCAATGATGCCCTGTGGAGAGCACAAAGGTGAGTGTCTGAAGTAAGATGGTATGGTATAAACTATAAACCCTGAAAAGCAGGATTTATACCAGTTCGCCCAGTACTGTCCCATGAAGAACACGAAGATGAGAGTCACCAAGGGGTAGTTATGGGCGGAATTTATATTAGTTGTACCGGTGCTACCCAATAGACGACAGAAAGGTAAGCGTGGCACTGGAGTAGGGCAGTGCAGGCGAAGCATTGCGACAGTATGTACATACCTGGCTGGGGGTGGGGTATGAGTTGCCGTAAGATATGCTTGGAACATGATAACTTTTGTCGATTTTTTTATCTAATTCATTTATTTTAATCGATTTGGTATCAGTAAACAATGCAAAAGTAAAGTAAGCAATGTGATATTTCAGAAAAAAAATTACTGACAGAAAAAGGGAGAAGCATGCCAACATCAGAGGAGCATCATAAAATCGTTTTTAAAAAGCTGAACACGAAAAACGCTGGTCCAGTGGCTACCATAGGGGAAGAGGATACAATATACTCGTACATAGTCCACTGCTGTTCAATATTGTCCATGCAAAACGTGCTACCATCAGGCTGACACAGAGTTATTCTGACCTTCAGTTCAAGCTGAAGGTCAGAGGGGACAGGGCGACAAGGCCACGGAGGGAACAAGGCCACGGAGGCCTTGTCCCCTCCGTGGCCGAGTGGATTAAAGCGCCGGAATTCGACGCTAAGCCGGTAGTGAGAGCCCGGTTCAAGCCCCGGTGCGGGCGGCCACATTTAGCTCCTACGTGTAATGGCGTGCGTGTCTGTGGCAGGGGCCGCACAGAAGCCAGGTAACGTGAGTGAGCGGAGGGGGCCGTGTCCAGTCGTGAGGGCACGTTAAACGTTCGGACAAAATTCTGCCATACAACTGGAATTGCGCGATCGGGTGGTGGGGTCAGGGTCAGCACAACAAGCTGTGCTTAGTGCGGGCTCTGATTCCTCAAATCCACCCATTCAACCATTCGGACTAAATTTATTTAAAAAAAAGCTGATAGTGTTCAGACTTCAGATGGCAGCATTCAGAGAGCAGTGAACGAGAGCAGTGTTCACTGCTCAGGCATAGAGATGAGATTGAAGTGTTGGTAGCTCTAGTAGCGAATGGTCTGACCGAGCCCTGGCTTCAGTTCCAGATCGTTCTGGCGGCGGCGCTTCTGGCCGTGTGCACTGCGGCGCAAACGGCTCCCGGCGGGCCCCGGGAGCGGCGCCAGGCGCCCGCCTACAGCCCGCGCAGCTACAGCCGCGCCTCAGCCCAGAGCAGCCCTCGGGGCCACCATACAGCCGCAGCGCACAGCTACCGGACGGCGGCCCAGCCCGGCCAGAGCACCTACCGACACACCTACAGCTCGGCGACGAGCCAGCCGGCCAGTGGCGGACAAACCTACCAGTGGAGCTACCAGTCTCCGGGCTACGCTGCGGCATACCAGCAGACAGCGTCCCAGACAACCACCGCAGCCCCCGGCTACCAGGGCAGCTACAGCACGCCCAACTTGTGGCAAAACGGCTACAAAGCAGCGTATGGCAGCCAGCCTAACTACCAGACCCAGAGCAGTCAGTCTGCCGGCTACAAAACACCGGCAGTTCAGCAGGCAGCCTACAGTGTACCGGGCTACCTGCAAACTGCCGGTGGCCAGAACGGCTACCAAGCGGCGGGCACGCAAACAAGCCAGCCTGCCGGCTACAATACGCAAACAGCTCTGCAGGCAGCATATATAGTGCCGGTAAACTACGCCGCTTACGCTGTGTCGACGGATGGCCAGACGGGTTATAAGTTAGTGACCACTCAACAGACTGGCTATAGTGAGCCTACAGTTCAGCAGAGTGCATATGACGCGCAGACGAGTGGATATGACGCCCAGCAGAGCGGGTATAACACGCCAAGTCAGCAGGCCGGCTACGGAACACCCAGTGAAGGGATAACACCTACTGCCGCTGCTGTCTACAACACCGGCCACAATGCGCCCGCCTACGATCACGTTCATAACAGTGGATCAGCGCCTCACAGGGACTACAGCGGTGGCCTAAACACCAGTCCAAATGCCGTCACTGGTAGCTCAGCAACCAGCACCGAACAGCGAGTCCCAGCTCCGGGCCGCACTAGCAGCACCAGCTCGCCAAGCGTCACAGGCAGGAGCTCGCCGGTCGAGCCGTCGACGGGCAGCGGTCGCGGTCGCCGACGGAACCAGACTGTCGGCACGAGCTCCGAACCTCCTCCGAGCTCACCGACGGGGGTAGAGCGGCGCGTCCCTTCCCCCGCCGACCGACGAAAGAGCCGCCGACGGGGGAGGACCTCCGCGACTGGCCGCGGCAGATCTGCTGACCGCTCGACAGCCCGGACAGCCAACTACCAGTCCCCGACCGCTGCTCCGGAGCCAGCGAGTGGGAAAAGCGGAGGCAGTGGAAAGAACGGACCGTCTGCCCCAGCTGACCCGGCGCCGCAGCAGAATCACCGCAGGACAGAGGTCAGCCACTTCACCAAGAATGAAATAACATCCGGTCAACGCCGCAAGGACCAGGGACTCCCCAACAGCTCGACGGCTTCAGGAGCTCGGTTCTCAAACAGCTTCAACAGCCAGAGCTACCAGTACAGCTGTAGCGGTCGCTCCTCCTCCCGGAGCGGGTACAGGTGTACCGGGTACCGGGAGAGAACGTACACAAAGTCGGGCTCAGAGCAGCCTGGCTACACGACCACATACCGAGAGGCGTTCACCGGCCCGGCGCCGCCGCAGAAGAGCAGACACGACACCGCGTACTATCCCTGACCGAGCAGTGAAGCGTGTCTACGAATCTGTTAATGTTTTGTCTTTTGTATACAGATAGATATGTGTGATATGTAGAAATATATGGCCAAGTACTCGTTACAACTGGAGAGCAGACACATGAGCTTATTAAAGTTTCAGCACAATCGGCCCGGCCGTTCAGGAGTAAATGTAAGAGCAACAATTTTGTCACCGATTTAAGTTGGCATGTGGCACTCGTCGGGACTGTAACCTACATGCCATATCGGGGTGGAAGGGATGGGTCCACCATACGGCAATGAACACTCATCTAACGGATGTGCTGTTGCGAGGATAGAAGCCTCTCAAATACGTTGCAGGAGGGGCTGAGGCGCACATACTTTTCCTCGTTATATTTGCAAAGACTCGCTCGTGCTTTGCAACCTGAAACAAAAATACAGCGCACACATATAATTATCTGCAATATCCTCGCTTAAATTAATTTTAGCAAAGGTGGTGAGAGAAAATTGAACGAAGGTATCATTTTTAAAATGCACCCAACTAATATACCTAAAAGTCCAACTCATTACATTCCTAAAAAAAAAAATCAACTCAATGGAAACTTAACCCTCGCCCTGGCAGGGGGAGGGGTCGATGCGCCCCCCCCCTCCCAGGGTTTTTCGAAGATAGCTAAAAACGGCGGCGCGCAGCGCCACCAAATTTGGCACAGTCTATGGGGCAACCTTTTTACATATGACCTGAAAAATTCAGGTCCAGGTGACCTTGGTTCAGGTCACCAGGTCAGAAAAACCGGTACAAGGTCATGGTCAAATTTCAAGTTTCTTTTTACACCTGTCCAACTCACAGTTTTGGACTGATTTCCTTCAAACTTTCAGGATATGCTAAGTTCACCGAGTTGTATAACATATAGTTCGGGTTTTTAAGGTCACTGACCTGAGGTCAGTTAGAGGTCATTACGTCGTAATGTTAAGCCTATGGGAAAATACTAAATTCGGAAAATACTTGATATATCCGCTTCGTTCTATCACGTTTGTGCTTTGAAACCACAGAACTTAACAGCAGGTTACTTGGTGCTTCTTTGTTTGGTGTACTTATCCATGGGACAGGTCAAATGAGGTCAACTGAGGTCAAATGACGTTTTTGCCAATAACTTGGCACATAATGACGCTGGAGCTTAACAAATTGTGTCATTGTGTTCCTGGTGAGCAGCCAAATCGAATGATATGCGATATGATGCAATTTGGCTAACTTGAACTTAATCAATTAATTTAAGTTTACTTAAAAATTAAGAAAAACTTAAAGTACACTTAAGCGAGCAAAAGTATATCATTCGACGCCCCTTGACGTGCTAAGTTCACTGGTGCTTTTCTTTTTCTCTATCTTAATTAGATCAAAAGTTATAAGCGAAAAACTTTTGATCTGTTTTTAGCGAAATTTTTACATTTATACCCCCAAAACCCCCCTAAATATTGACCTAGAGCAACAAAATTTGCACAAGTGCGAGAACTCCAGGGGGCCCACCTACCTACAAAATTTGGTGTTTCTAGGTGCCATAGGAGCCAATCGCGAGGGGGGGGGGGTCGCATCGAAACCCCCCTCCCTGCCAGGCCGTGTTATGAAAAATGCCATGCCAGGGCGAGGGTTAACATAGGAGTGTCATTACATAAAATACCTATGGTGGACTAAATAAACTGAGATAACCGCCGGACGCCAGATACAATTCACGTTCGTCATACAAGTCCATATGTGTATTTAGGGCCTTGTCCATATGTATGTATAACCAAAAGGCGGCCTCAAATAACGAGAAGAATACGGTAGCACACTCGCCATTCGCAAGCATACGTATGCACTGTCGCGTCGCCTTCGGCCGGCGCCCCGGCGTTGGCCACGCCCGTCCATCGGCGAATGTCTAGGTCACGGCCCGACTCCGAGCCGTATAAAGCCGCTCCGGTCCGCAGGTCGGCATCAGTTGATCACACAGCTCCACAGCACACTCAACATGAAGGTAGGTGCCCTCCAAACCGAGGCTGTTATGGGGAAGTTTGTTACGCAAACCCAGGCGGAGTGGTCAGAAAGAAGGAAACGGTAAAAGCTTTGTGAATGGGATATTCTTTCGAATATCGACAAGCCATTGGAATAAGCTAGAACAAGAACAAACGATTCAACCTTGGCCTAAACGATTAAAATAAATTGACTATTATCCTATGTTTCAGTTCTTCGTGGTTGCCGCCCTGCTGGCCGTTGCCGCCGCCGACAGCGCGCCCTCCTACGCGCCCAGGCCCGCCTACCACCCCCAGCCGGCCTACAAGCCCGCTCCCTACAAGCAGGAGAGCTACGACCAGCCGCCCAAGTACGACTACAGCTACGACGTCCACGGATACGGAGACTACGAGCCCGTCTTCAACGCCCAGGAGGCGCGTGACGGCTACGCCACCCAGGGATCTTACTCGGTTGTGCTGCCCGACGGCCGTACCCAGACAGTCACCTACCGTGTGGATGACGCCTACTCTGGCACCATTGCTGACGTCACCTACGAGGGTGAGGCTCGCTACGACGAGTACAAGCCCAGCTACAAGCCCAGCTACCCTCAGCCGAGCTACAAGCCCACCTACAAGCCCGCCTACGGCAACTAAGTCAGAAATACGTGCATTGTATGCTTGAATGAATTCTGTTTGTGTTGTATTTATTGTGTGATGTCCTTTGTCAATAAAGCCAAACACCGTTACTTCATTTCTGGATTGCGTGAGGAGGTGGAAAGAACGACATTAATGAAATCCAAGATCAGTTCGAGGATCTCCATAACTGATACCTTTTCGAAATGTACGGGGTGCCGGAAATTATGCCCCTTGTTAAATTTGCTAAGACCGTGCCTCAGGCTATCCACAGCTGTCCGTTAGTCACATGACCTATCCTGGTCACCTGACTTTGACACTTGCGAGGCGCCAGGGGTCAGAGTTTGACAGGCGTAACTCGCACGTGAACGTGGTGTCTACTATGACGAAAGAAACTCTTTGACAAAGCGTCATCGCGCTGAAGTTATGGTGAAGACTGAAATGAAATAGGAAGTCAAATCGAATCCTCTGTCCTAGTCCCAATCGAAAACTTGTGGGGAATCGTGAAGGAGAGCTCAGCAAGATTGAGCCAGAAAACGGACTTAAGAGGAACCTGTGAAAGGTGTGGCTGAACATCAGCGCTGTTACTTTGGACATCTTGATCTATGGAATGCCAAAGCGGATGAGGGAATGGGTAGGACAGGGCAGAGGATAAGTCGGTAAATAAACCATGACTCGGGGGCCCTTTGTTTATTAATTATGGCGGCGAGCTGATGGAGGGGCTAATAATTTCCGGACACCCTGTAGACAGAAATGAACGTCTTACGGTCAGCTAAGATGCAATCTGATGGATGAGACACTTTCTTGTATGAATATAAAATGCTACTTTTTTATAATGGCACTTAGGCAGTGCGCTGGTTCATACAAAACTGAGTCCTGATGGCTTAATTAAAATTAGAGGAAGTTATAACGGGCTGGGGCTCCTCAACTTTTACGCTATGATAGACTGCTAGAGTTTGAACATAAATTCTACACCTTTTTTTCCTCCAGTCTGAAAAGAGTTCAATTCCAAAACGATGCACTTCAATTGGGAAAAAGCGTTGTAATTCAAATTGAATTACTTTTTTCAAATTGAAATGCATCTTTTTCAAATAAAACTCCAACTTTTTCAAGTTGAAGGAAAACAGGTGTAGTCTCTATCACTGCTAATACCATAGAGTTAGAGCATGCCCAGGCCACGTAGCGACAAGCGGAAATCGGCGTTTAAAAACATAAAAAATTAGCAGAAAAATAGCATAGTCATTTTTTTACATTCAAAGACCTCTTTCACTAGAAACTTGTAATTGCAAGTCTTTTTTCTTGTGAACTCAAGTTTTTTCTTCGTAATTGCAAACTTTATTTCTTAGTGAAGCATGCCTCTAGTCACCAGTTATCATCGGCCAAATGTACACTTTTTTAAACAAATCGGCGCATAACTCATTAGCTAATATGATTTGTGCTTTAACGGAAAATCACAAATCATATTAGCTAATGATTTGTGCTTTGTGCGGAAAAGTGTTATCGATAGCTCTTTCGAGCCTCGTTCACGAGCATGATGTCATATTTGACCACAAATCAACAGTTCAGCCATGGACAAAGGGACCTAGATTGGAAAGTGCTTTTCCTTCATCCAAGGTTGGACCTCCACAGGGCAAAGACCATCCCAATGGATGTCTTTTGCCGAAATAACTCCTTGCCTTCTGCGAACATTCAATGCTCAGGCCATCAGGACACCATTAAACAATCGCAAAGATATATAGTAAAGAGCAAGTAGCATACGAATATATTCAAGTAGCAATTACATATAAATACGCGGACCGGTTTCGTATATGAAAGACTTCTTCAGCGCTTTTCAAAAACGTATATGTCAAGCGCTGAAGAAGTCTTTCATAGACGAAACCGGTCCGCGTATTTATATGTAATTGCTACTTGAATATATTCGTATGCTACTTGCTCTTTACTACATACCTGTCCAATATACCGGGTGTCCCAAAAGTAAGGTCATCATTTGTTTTGGCCACACTGCCAAAAATACGCGATGGATAGATATAAATAGGACATCATATGAAAGAGCATTTTATAAAATTTTATTCTGACATACATATGAGTCAATACATTGGCTCGTAGCCCCACATTTGCTGCTTTTCTACATGGCTACCATTTTGGGCCGCGTGCATGAATAGACTACGTTTGACTTCCTCCACTATTCTGGAGCGATTCTCTGGTGAGATGCCGCCTATGTTTGCTCGAAGGGATCATCCTTTAGTTCTTCCCGGCTCGTTGGGTTGTCCTAAAAGACAATCTTTCTGTTGTGTATCCAGAGAATAAAAATATGAAGGTGTAACGTCAGGTGACCGCGGAGGCCATTCAATGGCGTTGCCCTGACTGAAAATTACGGGATCTCACATCCACTCTCGGAGACAATGCATGATCTTCAGGACGGTGCAAGCATAGTCTCCATCCTGCTGAAACCACTGCTGGCTGATGGTGTCGGCACAGCTGCGTTGCGACGAGCGGAAGAACCAGTGGGAGGACTCTCGGCCACCTCTCTTGATTTATTGTCACCCGATTCCCGCTGTCGTCCTCAGGACCTCGAAGCACACGTGGCTAAGTATACATGCCCTGTGCGTACATTATACCTTTTTTCTGACGTTTTACCGGTTGAGGCGAAACTATGCATGAGTTCAGAGATAGGGCGAGCTGATAGGGTCTGCTTAGGGCCGAAAACTGGGCGGTATTTACCCTTTGTTTTAATGACGGACCCTCTCTAAGAGTTGAATTTCGACCTTCTCAGTTTTATGCCTACTGCTCGGTGTAGTTATGATCAAAAATGGTTTAAGCATGCAAGAAAATAATTTTATGGATGTACCTTGCACGTGTTAAAATTGGAAGTCATTCGGACTCTTACTTCTCGAGATATTTAAGTTTTAAATCATGACCTTACTTTTGGGACACCCGGTATCTGCAAAGATATATGTAACCTGGGCAGTGGCCAGTGAACAGTGAAAGAAGTAACGTTTTCGATCAGCATCTTGATAAATGGCATTGTTTACCGGCTTCAAATAGGAAAGCTCACATAATTTATTTTCAGGTATGCCTAAATGATATTTGACCGCCAAACTTGAAATGCTCGCCTTCGCTTCTTTGCAAGAACACTTTCTATTAAAAATTCAACGATTGATCAGTCTAAAAGTGTATACAACATATAGCTCGAACTTAAGATATCGGTGAAATAAGGTCAGGGTAAGGCGACCCCTCCATTTCAAGACAATGGTATAATTGAAGTAGGGGAAGGTGGGGTAAGACGGCCCAGCGGGGCAAGACGGACCACCAGCCCTCCCGGCTGAACCGCTGCTGGTATTTACTGCTTTATGCACTCACTATGTTTGTTTTCCTTCATAACAATGGCCACCTTGAGCTCATGCTGCTAGGATGCATAGCTTTTGAGTTATTGAGAAAAATGTTGTTTTTCGTCAAACCGATCTAATATAAGAGGTCTACGGGTGATTCAATTACGGCGGCTTTCTTGCATGATTAGTTTCTATTTTGCACTTAACTGTGAAGAACAAAGTTATAAACTTAGTTATAGTCACACTTTAGGAAAGGCAAGGTTTTGCAATGTTGGGCTATTTGACATATACGTCATGATAATGACAGAATTTAGATTTGGGGCAAGACGGACCACTGTGGTCCATCTTACCCTGTGGTGGTCCATTGTACCCTGCATATGGAAAGTTCTTTTCGAAAACATTGACACAAGTTTAAGTAAGCTAATTTTTCAGGAAGGAGTCTTTGTTGCATGTGAGCCATACATGCAAGTGCTCAGTTAGCATGCATTCATGCCAAACGACAATCAACACACATGTTCCCAGCTTTTAGCTGCACTTCCATCACACATGAGTAAAGAATAAAGGCTCATTTTGTTATTTTACCATTCTGGTTACTTTTTCTTACAAGAGTACAGAGCAGAAGTGTAACACACATGAACGGATAGCAGGCACTGCTGGGTGGTCCGTCTTACCCCACGTTTTTTCTTGTCTTGAGTTTTTGACATGTCCCTCTTTAAGAGCATCCACCACCTAGATGTCTTTAATTTGAAATTTAGTCTTCACACATATCAACAGAGGAAGGATTGAGCATTCCGAAGACTATAAATAATATGAATTACGAGAGCAATGTAGCAAGATATGCGGCCTCAAACCTTAGCTGGTCCGTCTTACCCCACCTTCCCCTATGCTTCTTTCGGACGAAAGTCATGTTGAACACTCGCAAACATCGCGTAATGAACACTGAATCGAAAATTGCAGTCGTGACCGCTCTTTAAAACCCTGAGGTCATCGTAAACCGAAAAAATCTGACAGTCTTTCAAATCTAATTTTCGTTAAGATATGCTAGAGCGATGAAAACACCCTAGCATTCATCTTAGCGATACGGATCAGCGTAGTTACAACAGGACCGCTAGGCTAGTAGGCTAGTTCATTATCTAAAGGCAAAATTAAAGGTTAAATTAAAGATCATTCGACGCGTCTCGACGAACGAAACACGATGCAGGTAATATCAAGTGTCATGTCAAAAGTTAATGCAGAACACATTTTTCCAAAACGTCAATCTTGACGGCTTTTCCTCTCTGGTACTAAGGTCCCAACTAAAGGTAAAATCCGAGGATACATGCGTCAGGGTAAATCCACCGCTATAAAATCACAAACCAAATGAGCCAATTCATCGAAGAAAATAAAACGGCAAAAATCGACCATTGATAATCTATGGTGACCAGACTATAATAGCTGAGTTCTTTCTCAATGATTAACATTTTTTTTTTCAAGCACCACTTACCATTAAAAAGCAATCCTTTATATATTCCCACTCACTCTTCATCTTAGGCAAATGATTCCATTAAAATGCACCAACTTTTATTGTCTGTCCCCTCCGCTAAGCAACAAAAGAGTCCTCTCATTATCTATTGTTCTCTATCTAATCCTCTATATCGGAGTGCTTATTATATATGAGCGAAATAAAATATCTATTTTCCTCCACCAGCGCCCCGGCGTTGGCCACGCCCGTCCATCGGCGAATGTCTAGGTCACGGCCCGGCTCCGAGCCGTATAAAGCCGCTCCGGCCCGCAGGTCGGCATCAGTTGATCACACAGCTCCACAGCACACTCAACATGAAGGTAGGTGCCCTCCAAACCGAGGCTGTTATGGGGAAGTTTGTTACGCAAACCCAGGCAGAGTGGTCAAAAAGAAGGAAATGGTATAAGCTTTGTGAATGTTTCGAATATCGTCAAGCCATCGGAACAAACCAGAACAAGGACAAACGATTCAACCTTGTCCTAAACAGTTCAAATGAATTGACTATTATCTTGTGTTTCAGTTCTTCGTGGTTGCCGCCCTGCTGGCCGTTGCCGCCGCCGACAGCGCGCCCTCCTACGCGCCCAGGCCCGCCTACCACCCCCAGCCGGCCTACAAGCCCGCTCCCTACAAGCAGGAGAGCTACGACCAGCCGCCCAAGTACGACTACAGCTACGACGTCCACGGATACGGAGACTACGAGCCCGTCTTCAACGCCCAGGAGGCGCGTGACGGCTACGCCACCCAGGGATCTTACTCGGTTGTGCTGCCCGACGGCCGTACCCAGACGGTCACCTACCGTGTGGATGACGCCTACTCTGGCACCATTGCTGACGTCACCTACGAGGGTGAGGCCCGCTACGACGAGTACAAGCCCAGCTACAAGCCCAGCTACCCTCAGCCGAGCTACAAGCCCACCTACAAGCCCGCCTACGGCAACTAAGTCAGAAATACGTGTATTGTATGCGTGAATGAATTCTGTTTGTGTTGTATTTATTGTGTGATGTCCTTTGTCAATAAAGCCAAACAACGCTACTGCATTGTCTTGGATTGCGTGAGGAGGTAGCAAGAACGACACTCATGAAGTCCAGAAGCAGTTTGACGACCTCGATAAATGATAAATTTTATAAATGTGTAAGGAACGTGCTACAAGTTCAGTTAGCGATCTCATATCATATACCAGAGCTTGAGAATGTGCGAGTCCCGGGCCACGTAAGGGACAAGGGGCGGTGGGTGTACAAGACAAAAAACAAAACAAAACGGCCAGCAAGTACATCAATCACTTTCAAAGTTAACCCGCGCACCGACGGGGGTCTGCGCCAACTTCGCACCGACGGGGGGGGGGGGCGGATGACCGCCCCCCCCCCCTGAGATCTCGAGAACGAAGCAAGATAACGACAAGCGGTAAACGGCATCGGATACGCACGGACAAGGTCTACAATTTTTACAAAGGTCATTTTCAGGTCAGGTCAAAAATGACGTCACAGGGGTCGAAAAAGTCAAAATGGCGGCGCTAGATATGGAGAGAATTTTTCTCGAATAACTTTCGAATTAGTCAAGATAGGAACAAACTAAGGGCACCATCGTGATCCTCTCGTCAATCCGCATCGAGTGATATATATGTTGACCTCGAAAGGTCAAGGTCAAAGGTTGACCTCAGGTCACGTGACCTCGAGGTCATCATGTATATCAATCGATGCGTCTTGACAAGCTGAACACAATGAGACCATCCGCGCGGCTGTATCTTCTTCCTGTACGGAGTTATTGGCAAAAAAACCTTTGGTGACCTTTGATGACGTCACATGACCTTACAGCTGCCCAACAGCAAAACAGACCTCAAGGTAGTGAAGGTTGATCATATATGAAGTCATGTATGGTATATGGGGCCATTCCGACCCGTTTTAGTGGTAAAAACAGGGAGTTGATTTTTCCCCCAATGACTTATAATGGGGATTGGGGAGGTCGCGAAATTGACCTGACCTTAGGTCACCGATATCAAAATTCCGAGATATACAAATTGTAGCTACTAATGACCTAATAACATCCTGCGACTTTCAAAGGCCTCCGACATCTATTGTAGCTCTGGCACGGTGACAAAGTTGCAAAAAAGTGACTTGAGGTTGGGTCATTCAAAGTGACCTGGTGACCTGACCTTAAAAGTTAGGAGGTTCAAACTTGCACACCATGTGTAAAATTGATGAGAGAATAGTCGTACCAAATTTCGCGGCGATAGCGCCGCGGTTTTCCCGCTATCCGCGAAAAACCTCAGGGGGGGGGGCGGATATCCGCCCCCCCCGTCGGTGCGCGGGTTAAATTTCCAGATATCGGTCAAATGATAACGATTGTTTTTTGCACATCGACGCCTGCTGATGAAATGCGATGGTTATCACTTACGACATCAGGGAAAGGAGCAACCGGTAGCTCTTTCGAGACTCGTTCGCTAGCATGCCGTCAGATTTTCCCTCAGATCGACAGTTTGGCCGTTAAAGGGCATTCGCCATCCAAACTGATACCTTTTGCTGAAACGATTCCTTGCATTACGTTCAATGACACTGCCCTCAGGCCAGCAGGGCGCGGTTCAACCATTGTGGCATTCCACGGAAATATATCATCACGGCGAGTGGCGACTAACAGTCAAAGAAAGAGATTTGTTATTCAAACATCTTGATAGTTTGAATGGTGCACTGGTTTAAAATCAAAAAGTGTAAAAAGACTATTTCATAAACCTTAACCAATCATATTTGACTGTCAAACGTACAATGTTTGCTAAGGAGAGATCGACAGAACCAATGCCTTTTAAAATTCAGCGATCGATGAGTGTGGCAGGTATATAAAACGTATGTATACCTAACATTTTAAGTGGTTGGCTGCCAACAACGGCACAATCGACTAGTATTGATGAATATGTCTATACTATAGGCTGTCGACAAACATTGCCGGAGTGTCCGCTCAAAATCTCTTCTCATTTCTATTAAGCCAATTTGCTGTAGTAACTGTGTCATTAAAAGTTATTATCCCAAAAACACATCGGCTGACCAACTACTTAACCCACGCCCCCCCCCCCCCGGGGGGTCAGAATCCCGTTTTTCTTCTAAACGCGTTATGCCAGTGACGTCAAAGGGGATTCTGCCTCGTCACGGGAGGCAGAATCCCCTCCCGTTCTACGCCAATAATTTCTAAACGCGTTACGCCAGTGACGTCAAGCTTTAACATACATCAATTTAACAAGTTCATGAAAATTAAAACGAAGTCCGTTGGAAACTTTTTGAGAAAATGACGTTTAAGTGACGTCATGTCACGCCATTTTCGCTTCTAAATCTTCAAACGCCGCTAACCTCTTCATTTGTAAAGTAATCAAGACGTAACAAAAAAGATTATACGTGATTCTACTTTGTCTATCAAATGTATATCTCGTGTTTTTGGAAAATTTTGGATTTTGGCCCACAATTAAAAAAAACTGACTTTTTGGGAAATTCAATATAAAATCCAAAATTTTGTGTTTATCGAAAAAAACGGAATATATGTTAGAGAAGTGGTCTATGTGTGCACCTACATACCAATTTTTAGAAGAATCGGTTCAAAAATGTGGGAGTTTCTCAATCTTTTATGATGTCACGACACACAAAACTTTCGAAAAAAAGATTTTTTTGGAACTTCTAGACCTCATACGGAAACAAAAAATAGCACCATCCGATTTGCCGTGAAAAACTGCATCAGATAGACATCTTTTTAGGTTCTAAGCAATCAACTTCAAAATTTGACCTCACTTGACCTGGCCTCGACCTGAAATTCATCCAGATGTGGTCAATATCATTAATTGAGTGTGCCCATTGAATTCTATGAATAAAATAACCCATAAAACATCTGTCGCACATGCCCTCTTCTATATTTCGTATTTGGTGACCTGACCTGACCTTGACCTTTACATGACATTGTATGCAACGAATCTTGTCTTGGTAGCCTAAGAATACGTTTTGGGCAACCAGTCTCAGTCCATTGTTCGGCAACAACGGTGCAAGGTCGATACTGTAGAAACTTGCATTTTATACCCTTAACCTGACCTTGACTTGACCTCTGACCTACTTAAGCAAAAAAAAAAACGGCTCTTAAGATCCGCCTTGTTGAGAGCTTTTGAGTGCTGTTTTCCCCGTCTTTCTACAACCATCGGTTCGGAAGTAAGACAGAGGGGCAGAATCTGCCCTCCCCCCAGCAGGGCGCGTATGGCTGAATAGCCCAGCGGGGCGCGGGTTAATCCTCGCCCCGCCAGAAGAAGGATTATGCAACCCTAGGGTTGTTCGCAAACAGCGTAAAAACGGCGTAGCGCAGCCAAATTTGGCAAATATTATGGGACATTCTTTTGGTATATCCCCCGAAAATTTCAAGCCAGTCATTGTGAAAATTTTTGTCACAACAACGGTATATTGGGTAAGATTGGAGTAACTTATCGGAATAACGAAGTTATTGCACACTGCGTAGCTTCAATATTTGTAGACGTGGCAGTTCCCGCAAAACCTTTTCTGAGTCGAAATAGCAGAACATGACATGATTCTGACCGCATTTGTGGCCATCCTAACATAGCCTCTTGGAACCTTTTTGGAGACAAGGTGTAAAATTGATGCCTGAAAGTTTGGTGACGATATCTGCAACTCTTTGGGAGCTATCAACAGAAAAAGAGGGGATCGTTTCACCCCCCAGCAGGACACGGTTTAAAAAGCAGCCCCTCCGTCCATAAACCGGCCATCCTTCATCCCATCCACATTGTTTAATTTCAATATGAAATTTCCACTTTCCTTCATTTGCACGCAGAAATAGTCATTTGTATGTAGTCCTCTATATAGCTATAAGCTATGTAAGTGAAAAATGTCTATTTCCCTTCGGCCGGCTCGTCAGCTGACCACGCCCGTCCATCGGCGAATGTCTAGGTCACGGCCCGGCTACGAGCCGTATAAAGCCGCTCGGGTCCGCAGGTCTGCATCAGTTGATCACGCAGCTCCACAGCACAATCAACATGAAGGTAGGTGCCGTGCTGAAACAAACTTGCAACGAGCTACTTGCAAAGTATAAGAGCCGAGAAGTTATATTACCACTGTTGAAAAATCAAATCTATATAACTATTAGATTTAACGAATCTATATAATCTATTGCAACTTTCTCTTTTAATTAACGTAGGGTAAGGAATCATTGTTCAATTTGTATATCACAGAGCCTCTTAAAACGAGGACTAGGTATAGCCCGAATTTAAGTTGCATGGTGGCATGAGTGACATTGCGTAAGGCCAGACATATTGTCAGCGCTGTCTGACAATAATCTCGCTTCATAATGTAACATAACAATTAACAATGGCCCCTGTCCTATGTTTCAGTTCTTCCTGGTCGCCGCCCTGCTGGCCGTTGCCGCCGCCGACAACGCGCCCTCCTACGCGCCCAGGCCCGCCTACCACCCCCAGCCGGCCTACAAGCCCGCTCCCCACCACCAGGAGAGCTACGACCAGCCGCCCAAGTACGACTACAGCTACGACGTCCACGGATACGGAGACTACGAGCCCGTCTTCAACGCCCAGGAGGCGCGTGACGGCTACGCCACCCAGGGATCTTACTCGGTTGTGCTGCCCGACGGCCGTACCCAGACGGTCACCTACCGTGTGGATGACGCCTACTCTGGCACTGTTGCTGACGTCACCTACGAGGGTGAGGCCCGCTACGACGAGTACAAGCCCAGCTACAAGCCCAGCTACCCTCAGCCGAGCTACAAGCCCACCTACAAGCCCGCCTACGGCAACTAAGTCACAAATTCGTGTATTGTATGCGTGAGTGACGATCTATTTTGTGTCGTATTTATTGTGAGATGAATAAAACATAAACAAATAATTTTGATTTCTATCACTGCATTAACCCGCGGCACGTAAGGCCATTGCTGGATCCTGCCTCCTGTAAAGTGTGAGAGGGCGTTTCGGCCCTGTATAGGATCTCGGAAAGTTACCGACAGATTTTCCAAATTCAAACGGCGCTCGATAGCCCCACTGAGGATCTACCTTC